CCCTGCTTTACCTTCCTACTTCCTCACTCTAACCCTTCAGAATAAGTGTTACTGGCCCCATTTTACAGAGTAGAAATTTGAGGCTTGGGGAGTTGAAGTCCCTTGATAAAGTCATAGGACAGTTAAGTGGCCCAACTGTACCTAGAACCGAGGCGTCCTGACAACCAGTCCAGAGCATGTGCCGGAGACACTGCCCCCGCCAGCTCCTCCGCCAGTGTCCCTTCAAAGGCTCCAGCCCAGGATGAGGGGCACCCCACTGGTGGGGAGGGCAGTCAGATATGGCTGAAGAGGTCAGCTCTCTTTTCCAAGTGCATGGCAGACCTTCCTCTCCACTTTCCTCCCTCGTTCCTTCCCCAGGAAGGAGGAAGGAAAGATTCATTCCACCCCTGTTTTGTGTCCACTGCAGAGAGCTCCCCTCTCTCTCTTCCTGTTTTTCTCAGCAGACTGGAAGGAAAAGTACCCAGGAGGCCGAGTTCCAAGCCCCACATGGTACAGACAACATTTGATGGTTCAGCTAACACCTCCACGACCCACTGCCCCCCAGTCTGTCTTCCAGTGGCCCTAAAGCTGCTTTCACCATCCCTCACCTCAGTGGGGACATCCCTTGGCGATGCCACTCTCAACCGCTTAGAGACTCTGCCTCCCACCCCAACTGGACTGGTAAGTCTCCCAAGGCCCTCTGTGCCTGTCAGGTCCACATGGATGGCCACCTGCAGGCTGCTCAGTGGGTGACCTCAAGTTGCCCAGCACCGCAGGGCTGAGTCCCTGAACTCTGGCATTGAAAAAGAGTGGACATAGTGATGGAGAGACTTAGGAAGGAGCCTGGATTTCTCCAACTGTGGGGCCCTGCTTGGAGGCTCCTCAGGTCCTTGGAAGATGGAAGAGGAGTTGGCAGATGGAGGGGGTGCCTAGAAAGGGGCCCAGGGCCTCTCCTACCTGTAGGGCCTCTCCCTGGGGGCTTGCAGTTGTCTCCTTCCTCCAGCTGAGCGGCTGCACTCCCGGGTTGTCTTCAAGCCCCTGTGGCTTCTAGCCCCCAGCTCTTCAGTCCCCGCTTCCCCCCCCCCCCCCCCCCCCCCCCCCCCCCCCCCCCCCCCCCCCCCCCGCAAGATCCTGGGGCTGCAGACAGCATTGTTTACTGCCCTGTTGGTACAACACTCTTCCCTGGACTGGGAGGCTCGGATTTCCCATGGAGATTTGGCAGGTGGCACCTTTCAATCACAGCCAGTGCCTCCCGCCTGACACCAGGCAGCATGCGTCCTGCGATCATCTCCCTTCCCGATGTACTCGCCTGGCCCTGGCAACTCCCCAGACAATCTACAGGCCCATTTGGAGCATGGTCACCAGCTGTCTGGCCTCCCCTGCCCATCCAGAGCCCAGGCTAGGCCTTCTCTGCATCCCCCCCACCACGTTCCTTTAAATAGTCCCTTTTACCCTTCCTCAGACTAAAGCAGCTGCGGAAGGGTGGGCTAAGGAGGGGTGGGGGCCAGCTGCGGAGGTGGCGATGTCTCTCAGGCCTCCCACTGCACGGGGAGCGGCTGGGGAGAGAGAGAAGAGTGATGGCCCAAGCTGATGGGTCGCTGCGCTGAGAGTCTAGGAAATACAAAGCCGAGTTCTATTTGGAGCTGAGGCGACGGGTACACAAGAGGCTCTCAACAGATTTTTGTGCTGAATCGAGATTTTGCTCAGAAAGACGAAACACCTTTACCTCCTGTAGGTGTCCTGTGATCTAAGAAAGGTACTACTTTTGGAGAATGTGTGAGGGGCTTGTGACTCCCCCTCCTCCTCCCCCTCCCCACTGCTTCAGCAACACTGGCCTCCTTCGTATCCCTCCGATGAGTCGATTCCTTTCCATACTCAGGACTGTAAACTGCTCTTTGCAAGGCTGGTTCTTTCTCATTCTCCTGCTCTCAGCTCAAATTTCATTTCCACAGAGAGGTCTCCCATGACCTTGAGATCCTCTCCATCGCTTCTGCATATTTTATTTTCTTATGGAATATGGATTGGAATCCAAAGTTACCTTATTTATTTCCTTGTTACCTGACTTTCTCTCTAGACTCTAAGCTCCATGAGGGCAGGGACTTTGTCATGTTCATGGCTGTATGCCCAGGGCCTAGCAAATTGCCTGGGTCATATGAAGTGCTCAATAAATGGATAGCGAATAAATAAATAATTTAATTAGTTAGTAGAAATATGGAACGGGAATTTGGGGGCCTGTTCCTGGGATGATCTGAAAGCCAGGTTTGGGTACCAATGGTTGAACAGTGCAATATTGTTGATTGCCAGCTGCATTTAGTGATAAGACGTCTGTAATTTTAAGGGCATTGTGGGGGGCTTTCCTGGTGGCGCAGTGGTTGAGAATCCGCCTGCCAATGCAGGGGACACGGGTTCGAGCCCTGGTCCGGGAAGATTCCACATGCCGCGGAGCAACTAAGCCTGTGCGCCACAACTACTGAGCCCGCGTGCTGCAGCTACTGCAGCCTGTGCTCCTAGAGCCCGTGCTCCACAACGAGAGAAGCCACCCCAATGAGAAGCCGGCGCACTGCAACGAACAGTAGCCCCTGCTCACCACAACTAGGGGAAGCCCGCGCGCAGCGAGGACCCAATGCAGCAAAAAAAAAAAAAAAAGAAAGAAAGAAAGAAAGAAAAACAAAGAAAAAAATGTCGTTGTAGAAAAAAGACTTCATCTGTTAGCGATACAATTAGATGAAGAAAATATGGCTAAATGTTGACAACTGTCAAATCTTGGTGATTAATATGTGGAAGTTCAATATATTGTGCTCTCCACTTCCGTGTACTTTAAAAATTTTCCCTAATAAATAAAAATCTAAAACAAAAAGATTCATTTTTATTGAGCATCTGTCATGGACTAGGTGCTTTAAATACAATATCATTTTTATGTTTTTGTTCGTTTGTTTTGTAATGATTTTTAAAACTTTATTTTGAAATAATTATAGGTTTATAGGAAGTTGCATAAATAGTACAGAGAGGGTACACAAGGTTAAATTTTACTTAAGATTTATCCACTGAAGGCTAAATCTTACATAACTATATGCAATATCAAAGCCAGGAAATTGGCATTGGTACAATGGCATGTATACTTCTGTGACAGCTTAGATTTGAATAAACACCTTCTCCCACAATCAGGGCACAGAACCAATTTCATCAACACAAAGATCTCCCTTGTGCTATCCCCTTAGGCACACCTCCTTCCCTCCCCCCACCAACTCTAACCCTAGGCAACCATTAATCTCTTCTCCCATCTCTATAATATTGCCATTTTGAGAATGTGATTTAAATGGAATCATACAGTATGTAACCTTTCATAAAACCTAACAAAAATCCCATCTAGGAAGCAGATTCCTCTCTTAAGAACCCATCTCCTTTTTCCATGCAATTTCTTAATACTCCATAATATGTTGACTAGATTCTCAAAAGTAAAAACCAGGATAACATATACAATAATATACGTGGCAGCATTATCATAATAGCCCCAAACTGGAAACAACCCAAAAGTCCATCAGTAGGAGAATAGATAAATGAACTGTGGCTTATTTATACAATCAAACACTAGACAGCCATAAAAAAGAAGGAATAAGAGATACACACGACAATATGGATGAAATCTTACGGATGCTACATTGAGCTAAAGAAGTGAGGCACAAAACAGAAAACAATGTATAATTTCATTTACATGAAGTTCAGGAGTAGGCAGAACTAACTGATGGTGATAGAAGTCAGAATAGTGGTTCACTGCAGAAGATGGAGTATTGACTGGGAAGGAACATGAGATAACTTTTTAAGGTGCTGGAAATATTTTGTATCTTGATCTGGGAGATAGTTATAAAACTGAATGTATATTTAAAAATTAAGCTTGTGTATTTTACTACTTTACTATCTGAATGCTATACCTAAATTTTAAAGTATCAAGGCACAGGATCTGACAAAGAAGTTTGAGTCCTTAGAGCAGTAATGAGGCCAATATTTAAAATTGGGACTTCCTTAGGGAAGCATATGGTGACCAGCCATATAAAGTGTCTAGCCCACCTTCTCCTATGGGCAGTGTACCACTGCATCCCTTGAAATCCCTTGAAAAATCCAGGGATTGAGGTGGGTTTTTCTTGGGGGGGGGTGGTTGCGGGAGGGGGGCGTGCAGACCCGAGGAATACATTAAGTCTTGAAAGATGAAGAGTTCACAAGTACCCTCTGTCTTCCTCACCCAAACACACTAGGTCAGTTCTGGTGGCAGCCACAGTGGCCCTATTCATCTCTTTAGGGCCCAGGGCGTCTAACAGAAGCTGACTAAAACATATTGTATACTTGACTCATCTTTCTGCAAGCAGAAACCGTGCCTCGCTTGTCTCTGCAACCCCAGAGAAAGTTTAGTGACCTACACACAGCTGTGTTCACACAAAGGGCCTCTGAGCATTGGTCCTCAAACTTGGCTGCACATGGGAATCACCTGGGGAGTTTTAAAATGTACTGATGCCTGGGTCCTACTCCCAGGGATTCTGATTTAATTGGCACGAAGTGAGCCCTGGGCTTCGGGATTATTTTAAGCGTCCCAGGTGACCTTAAGTACATCACAAACTGAGAGCTGCAGTTTGGCGGCATTCTTCCTACTCCGCGCCTGATTGGCGCTCTGGCCTCGGCTCTCCGGAGGTGAGGACGAGGTTCACTGAGTTCTGCGGTCCTGCCCCTCTTAGAGAACCAATAAACTCAAATCTCTCCGTGACACCCCTAAAGACAAGAATTCTAACCAGTCTGCAGGCGCTCTGCGCCCCGCTCAAGCCTCTATGGTATTTTGGAGTCCTCTCTAGCATTTGGGAGACGCCTTAGGCCGGGCCAGCAGCTCCCTCTCTATGGTAGCGGATTTTCCCGCGCCGCCTCGTTGGTACTTCATTCCGGAAGTGCGTGCGGATCAGAGAAGAGGCGGGATTTCCCTCCCGGAAGTGACCCCGGTGCTTCCGCCCTATCCTACCTGAGCGCCCGGTGAGTTTGTAGTGTTTACCCGAAGTTGAGGACATAGGGGGCGTTGTGGCAAGCCCCAGGCCGTGGTGCGTGCCGTCTGACCTCAAGGTGATCCTGATGATGGCGCCGCCATTTCAGAGGTGTAGACCCTGGGCTGGGGCCCGGGCGCCTTAGTCCCGCGTGTGATCGAATTCTTAGGGCCCCGCAGGTTCATGCTCCGTTCCGGTCTCCCCTTCTTCTCCTGGATAGAGGTGACCTAGAGGGATTGGGAGTCAGGGCTCTGGGGCTCGATTTCCAGACCCGCCATTGACATGTTCTGTGACCTTGGGCTAGGCAGTGTTCCCCTTCTTGGCCTCAGTTCCCACATCTGTGAAATGGGACGTTTTAATTCACTGAGGTCAGTGGCCCCTGCTGGTCTGATGCCCTCTGATTCCTCCACATCCTCCGGCCCCTGCGATGGGAAGGTGAATGGGAGGGCTGGGTGCTGACCATGATGTCTGCCCCCAGGATTAGGAGGCCAGAGAGAGATCTCTTCCACGGTGCAGGGCTGAAATGGACCCGCTTAGGGCCCAGCAGCTGGCGGCAGAGCTGGAGGTTGAGATGATGGCTGATATGTACAACAGGTAAGGGCTGATTCTGCGCTGCCTTGTCTTAGAGAATGATCCCAGGTCACTCTTGCCAAGGCAGAGGTGGATAACTTCTGAAGATTATTTTCCTCATTCCGGGGAAACCTGAGGCCCGGGCTTACCCTCCCAGCACCCCCAACTCCCGCCCCATGCTTAAGGGCTAATGCAGACGCAGTGTGGGGTCACTAGAAGGAACTGGGCATTTAGGTTCGGATGGAATTGGCGACGTAGGAGCTGAGCAGGAAGAGAAGGTCCCGTCCAGGCTCTGGTTGTGTTCCGGGAAGAGTAGAGCATTTGCCTTGTGACAAATAGCACGTAGCCCGCTTAGTAGTCAACATTTCTTAAACTCTTAATCCATCTCAGACACATGCTGAGCATTTTATATGCATTATCTTTTTTTAAAGGTGAGGACATTGAGGTTTCTAGAGGTTAAATAACTCTCTCAGGGTCCACAGCTGGTCAGTAGCAATGTCAGAACCAGTAACTCAGTCTGACTCCTAACTAGTGCCCATAACCATCTGGCAAATTTGGGAACAAATCGTAGCTGCACCAGCCACCACTACTATGGCCTTGGGCAAGTTACATGGACTGTTAGACCAGTGGTTTCCCCATCTGTAAAGTGGAGTTAATAATAGTACCTTCCTCACAGAGACATTATCAATATGAAATGTAAGAGTATATGACAAGCTCTTAGCATTAAGCCCAACACAAGTCGAGTAAGCAGTCAACAAATATTTGCTATTTTTATTGGCTTAAGTTCTCTGGTATCCTCCCTAGATTAGTTGTTTTATCTTGGAGGCTATTTATCAGAATAATTTTTAAATGTAGGCTGTAAAGTCAGGCTACCTGGGTTCATAGCCCAGCTTTATGTGATCCTGAGGCTCTCTGTGCCTTCATTTCCTTATCTGTAAAAAGGGGGATAATGATTGTGCCTACCTCTTAGGATTATCGTAAGAACTGCATGACAGAATCCCTGTCAAGCACTTAGCACGATGTCTGGAGCATAGCTGGTACTCAGCTAATGGTTCCTGTTTGATTAGTCATAAACATGGCTAATGGTTCCTGCTCTCAAGGATCTTCCAAGATAGTTGGGGTGCAAACTGAGGATTTACACTGCCTTCTCGGGGAGGTGAAATCAGTATAGCAGGGCAGGAATGGCTGAGGGTTCCTGGTATGCCACAGGAGGCTGCTGACCTGACCTTGCCCTTCCTTCTTTCTAGAATGACCAGTGCCTGCCACCGGAAGTGCGTGCCTCCCCACTACAAGGAAGCAGAACTGTCCAAGGGCGAGTCTGTGTGCCTGGACCGGTGTGTCTCCAAGTACCTGGATATCCATGAGCGGATGGGCAAAAAGTTGACAGAATTGTCTATGCAGGACGAAGAGCTCATGAAGAGGGTGCAGCAGAGTTCTGGGCCTGCATGAGGCCCCAGGCAGTACACCGTAAGGTGCACCCTGTCCTTTCCCACTTGTCTAATAAAAGTGCCCCCATTGGGTGTCATCTGTGAAGACTGCCAGGCCTAGGCTCTTTCTGGAAAGTCTCCAGGAGCCCAGGGTATGATGGAGCTCTTTCCCGGTCGGAGAAGGGGTATTTGTCACACTGGCATGTGACTGTGTGTTTATATATATTATATATTAAAACAAGTTTGTTGACACCTACAGTGTGCAAAGCAGTGTGCCTGGCACTTGGGAGTAAAGGCAGCAGACACAGCCTCTACCAGCAGAGGGAGTCTAACGTAGTGTTTAAAAGCACAGACTGGTACCATGGCTTAAGTTTACATTCCACGTCAGCCACTTGCTGTGTGACCCTGAACGTGTCATTTCACTGTGCCTAGCTTCCTCATCTGTAAAGTGGGGAGAATCAGGGCTGTTGTGAAGATTAAATGATAGGCCATAGAAAGTGCCTAGTATATATTATTTATGTCTAACAACTTAAAATCAAGTGCAGGCAGGCATTTTCCTCAATGATATAAAGGAATGATTTAGAGGAGAGAGTGGAAAGTAGATGGAACCTAAGCATGAAGTAGCCACAACCTCTTGGTTCTAAACAGCAATATCGAAACGTGAAGGGACCCAGCTTCATGTGTGATGTGTGCGATCCAGGCAGGGGACCGAGTGATAACCACTGCCATTCAGTGTTCACCTGAATCTCAGCCAGGGACTGCGCTCCTCAGTCTTCATGGGGTATCCAGTCTCATCCACTCAGCAGGCCAAAGGCCCTGTTAGGAGAAGGGAGCTCAGAGAGGTGGTTGTTTGCTGGAGGTCACAGGCGAGGAGCAATAACGGAGGTCAGGGTTGACTGCTCGCGGAGGAGAGGCCGCATCTACTTCCTGTCCTGAGGGTGCCCTTGCAGAACTGTGCAGTTCTCAAAATGTAGGGTTCACTGCAGAAGGAATTTTGGTTGATGCCAGTGCCCCTGGTAGCAGTGCCTTCACAGCAGAGGGAGGTGTCTGGGGTGTAACCTCACCAGGTCATTGGGCTCACAGGAAAGGAGACGGTAGAGGCAGTGAGTTTCAGGCTTAAAAGTACAGGTTCAGGGAATTTCCTGGCGGTCCAGTGGTTGGGACTTTGCGCTTTCACTGCCTAGGGCCTGGGTTCATTTCCTGGCCAGGAGCTTGGATCCTACAAGCTGCGCAGTGTGGCCAAAAAAAAAAAAAAAAAAATCCAGGTTCAAGTCAGACCACCTGGGATGAAATTTTCTGGCTGTGTGATCTTGGGTGAGGCAGTTGACTACTCTGTGCGTCAGTTACCCTATCTATAAAGCGATAAAAGTACCTACTTCATTGAGTGGAGTGAAGATTAAATGTGTTAATAACTAAAGCACTTAGGAAAGTGCCTAATTCTCCCACGTTAAATACTCAATAATGTTAGCTCTTTTTTTTTAAATTGCTAACTTTGATGTAAGGAGTCTCGAGATAGACCCCCTGAAAACTTCAAAACTATTGTCCATCTACCTTAAGCGTGGGCAGAGAGCTAAGGCTCCTTTCTAGGTACTGAAGTGCCAACTTGCGTCAACAGGTGGCGCTGTGTGCTCACGGGACTCAGCACTGCTGTGGCCAGTTCTACAAATGTGTATTATTGGTGTATTCCTTGCGGCCATTGTACTAGGAAGAGCAGAGTGGTGAGGAAAACAGATATTGTAGCTGCCCTCAGGTTTAGCAAGGGACGTCAGAAATTTTCAGAGCACATAGCTGGAACATCTAGAAGGGGTGGTAGAGAATGGAGAGAAGAGGTTCCAGCTCGACAGAGAGCACTTGCAAAAGCTTTGAAGTGGCAGAAAGTGTGGAGCCGTGAAGAAACAAAGCTCTGGCCTGCCTGGAGTGCCAAATGGGAAGGGAGGTAGTGGTGAGAGATGAGACCTGCCCGAGGGCTGCGCAGGCGCAGCTCCAAAGCGCCTGATGAGCTGAGTTAAAAGAGTTTGGATTTTCTCCAAAGGGCATCGGCAAACTGTTGGAGGATGTAAACCCTGGCAGTGAAAATGACAGATCTGCATTTTAAAGCTCTCTCTAGCTGTCAGCCAGGTGGATAGTGGTAGATGATGGCTTAATGGATTCGGGGGAGACGTGCCAGGGAGCTGGTGAGGAAACGGGGATGATGCCAGTAAGAATAGCTATCGAGTTGCTACATTGTGCTAATAAGTATATTATTTCAGTTAAAACTCATAACTCTGAGGCATGTACCATTATTGTTATAGGTGAAGAAATTGAGGCTCTGAAAAGTTAGTAACTTGCTGAAGGTCATACATCAAGCAAGTGCTAGAGCCAGGATTCCAGCTAATTCAGACATGAGCGGCCACTTTTACCTGCCCCTCTAGGACTGGAGTGCGGGTGTGGGTGGGGCACGCTCCCTGATGTCAGCCATGACATATTCTATTCAGCAGTAGTTACTGTTGGCTTGCTGCATGCAGAGAGCTGTAGAAAGTGTGCAAGTGAATTAACTAGGTCCCTGCCTTCAGTGAACAAGTGTGGCGATTGGGAGGGTGGGCATAGGAGAGATGGAACAAACATATAGAGTAGTAGAATAGGTTAGGCCTTTTCTGCCATCGAGAAGAGTCAAAAACTGCTCACATGTGTGTTTGCTAGATTATCAGTTTCATTTATTTATTTTCATAAATTTATGTATTTATTTATTTATTTTTGGCTGCATTGGGTCTTCGTTGCTGGGCGTGGGCTTTCTCTAGTTGCCGTGAGCGGGGGCTACTCTTCGTTGCAGTGCGCGGGCTTCTCATTGCAGTGGCTTCTCTTGTTGTGGAGCACAGGCTCTAGAGCACAGGCTCAGTAGTTGTGGCACACGGGCTTAGTTGCTCTGCGGCGATTATCAATTTTAAAAACCGGGAAGTGTCTCATAAAAATCAGGACTTTGGCTTCTTTTGAAAAGTTAGAAGATCTGACAAGTCAGCCTACATTCCTGCTTGGCAGTGGTCTGCTGCTGGAGGATGGGTAGAGGCTCAGCTGTCCGCCAAACCTCCCACCTCTCATTTCTTCCCTCGTCACCATCTGCTTCACCTGTAGGCATTTGGTCTGCACCTTCTGCTCTTTGGGTTTTCAGATGAGCCAGACACTATATGAGAAAACATGTAATGATCCTGCCACTGCTGTTCATTCCTGTTCATTCCTAGTATAATCTCCTTCCCTTGAGTGTGCACTAGACCTAAACAGAGACTTGCTTCTAACAAACAGAACAGAGCAAAGGTGATGAAAGCTGCTTCCAAGGTTAAGACACAAAAGATTGTAATGGCCATCTTGTTATTGTCTCTCTCTCTCTCTCTTCCTCCCTTTCTCCTCCTCTCCTCCTCCTTGCAAGATCTGTTGAAGCAAGCTTCCATGTTGTGAGCTGCCCTATGAAGACGCCCATGTGGTTGGGAACTCAGGGCAGCCTCCAGCCCACAGCCAGTGAGGAACTGAATCCTGCTGGCAACCACATGAGTGAGCTCAGAAGCAGATCCTTCCCCAGTCAAACTTTCAGATGACTACAGCCCTGGCTGGCACTTTGCAGCCCTGTGAGAGACCCTGAAGCAGAGGACCCAACTAAGCTGCACGCTGACTCCCAGCCTAGAGAAACTGAGGTGATAAATGTTGTTTTAAGCCGTTACATTTTGGGGTAATTTGTTATGCAGCAATAGTTAACCACTACACAGTTCTCACAACTGTTACAGTCGTCAAAGACTATGTTTGGTCATTCTACACCCACACCTGGAAGGGACCAGGCACCGTTCCAGGCATTTGGGGTACACCAATGAACAAAATAAAGATTGTTGCCCACTTGGAACTTATATTCTAGGGCAATGGTTTTGCATAGAAGTCGGTTGGCAGGGCTGTTTTGAAGGAAAGACAGCCCCTTCAGCTCCTGGGAGAAGGTTCTTAACCTTTCACATCTTGGGCCCCTTTGAAACACCAACAAAAGCCACAGACTGGTTCTTCAGAAAATTGTTCACGCACAGAATTTTGCATGCAATTTTAGGGATTTTCATAAGAATTCTTGTGGGCTGACCTGGGGGGAGTCTTGTGACAAGCATTTTTTTAAATGCTGGGCAAAGAGAAACAAGACAGAAAATCAAAGGGGGGAGACATTAAAATCAGTCACTTTTACAGCTGTGATAAGTGCTGTAAGAGATGCCCAGGGAAGTGTGGGGCTATGTAAACGGATGACCCCCCCCCAAGTCTGGGTGCTCAGGGAAGGCTGTCCCCCTGAAAGCGATGTAGGTGAGTGAGATTTGAAGGATGGGTAGGAATTTGCCAGGTTGGGGGCAGTGGTGGGTGGTGGCTTCTTTGTTAAGTAGTGGGAGGAGAGTGGTGGGGAAGGCGGGCTCAGGTCCCTATCCTCTGGCCCATACAGCCTATCAGAGGAAACAGACACGTCGTGATGAGTTTTATCAAAGGGTGACTCGAATGTTATACGAGTCATATAGCAAAGGGATTTATTGCTGGAGTCAGGCAAGGAGCCTTCCTGTAGGAAGTGTGCGTTAAGTCAAAATCTGAAGGATTAGTTAGATAGGCCAGGGTGGGGGAATGTTCCAGGCCCAGGTGGGAGAACACGGGGTTTTAATGGATGAGAACAGGTCACAACAGTGAAAGCATAGAGAAGAGAGAGGCCAGAGGGAGGTGGGGGCAGCAGGAGGGCCCGGATGGACTAGGGGGCATTGTTGGGAGTTTGTACGTTTGCCCAACAGTCGTGGAAACTTCCAAGGGGAGAGGCCTGGTTGAAGCCAGGATCATTCTGACTGGAAGGTAGGCTCACTGGCACAAGTGGAATTGGGAAGGCCAGGCTGAAAGGGTCGCAGGAGTCCAGGCGGGAGTTGACCAGCAGAAGGCTTGGGGGCCAGCAGAAGATGGAGAGGAGAAGTCTTTAAAGGCAGGAGCCACAAGCTCGCTGGTAGGTTGGATGTGGAAAGTAAGGCTGGGAGCCGAGTCTGGATAACTTCGCTTTGAGTTTAAGCAACTGTGTGCAAGGTGGTGCTTTTACCGACACAGGCAGCAACGGAGGTAGAGCGAGTTAGGGAGGAAGGAGGAAGGTCATTTTCTGTCATCATTGAGCACTTCTTTTTATTTTAATTTTTAAATTAAAAAAATTTTTTGGGCTGCGCTACGCGGCATGTGCGATCTTAGTTCTCCAACCAGGGATGGAACCCACACCCCCTGCATTGGAAGTGTGGCGTCTTAACCACTGGACCACCAGGGAAGTGCCACTGAGCACTTCTTATTATCTTAGAAGGTACGGTACAATTGGCCTGTATCTACTTTTCCAGCTGCAGCTTCATGCCACAGCCCGCCTCATTCTATGTGTTCTTCCAGTCAGGCCCTCCTTCAGTTCCCTGAATGTCTCAGGCATCCTCCTGTTGTAGGGCCCCTGCATGCTGTGTCCTCCTCTTGGGGGTTGATAAATCCTACTGATTCAGACACGGGAAGTCTTATATCTTCAGATTGTGGCACAGACACCTTTAAGGACTCCTCCCTGCCCTCCAGTCTAGATCAAAGCCCCTCCCCAATGATATGTTACTTCTCTTCCATGGCGCTTCCTTTATTTTTTAAAATAAATTTATTTATTTATTTTTGGCTGCATTGGGTCTTCGTTGCTGCGCGCGGGCTTTCTCTGGTTGCGGTGAGCGGGGGCTACTCTTCGTCGTGGTGTGTGGGCTTCTCATTGTGGTGGCTTCTCTTGTTGCAGAGCACGGGCTCTAGGCGCATGGGCTTCAATAGTTGTGGCATGTGGCTTCAGTAGTTGTGGCGTGCAGGCTCTAGAACACAGGCTCAGTAGTTGTGGTATGCAGGCTCTAGAGCACAGGCTCAGTAGTCGTGGCGCACAGGCTTAGTTGCTCCGCAGCATGTGGGATCTTTCTGGACCAGGACTCGAACCTGTAACCCCTGCATTGGCAGGCAGATTCTTAGCCACTGAATGGCACTTCCTTTAGATGTAATTACACTTACTATGTGATAATTTGATTCATCTACTCCTCTCCCCCACTGGACTTTATGTTCTCTGAGGATGGAGTCTGTGTCTTATTCATCCTTCAATCCCTAGTGCCTGATGCATGTGAAAGCGTTTAAAAATTTTTTTTAAACTGATATAATTCACATATCATAAAATTCACCCTTTTAAAGTGTACAATTAAATGGATTTTAGTACATTCACAGGGTTGTACTGTCATCACCACTATCTAAGTGTGCAACATTTTCACCACCCCCAAGAAGGAACCCCATACTCATTAGCAGTCACTTCCCGTCTCTCCCCCCAGTTTCTGGCAACGACTAATCGACGGTCTCAGCGTATCTGCCTATTCTGGGCATTTCATGAGTGCACCCCTACACTATGGGATCTTTTGCATCTGGCTTTCACTTAGCATAATGTTTTTAAGGTTCATCCATGTTGTAGCATGTACCAGTACCTCCTTCCTTTTCATGACCAAACCATAATACATTCACTGTTACTATACACATTTTTTTTTTTTGGTCACACCTCGAGGCTTGTGGGATCTTAGTTCCGCAGCCAGGGATTGAACCCGGGCCTTCAGTAGGGAAAGCGCAGAGTCCTAACCACTGGGCCACCAGGGAATTCCCACAATACACATTTTGTTTATCCATTTGTTAACGGACAATTGGGTTGTGTGCACTTTTTGGCTATTATGAATAACAATGCTATGAACATTTGTGTCCAAGTTTTTCTTTATTTTTTTTTTGCTGTACGCAGGCCTCTCACTGCTGTGGCCTCTCCCATTGCGGAGCACAGGCTCCGGACGCGCAGGCTCAGCGGCCGTGACTCACGGGCCCAGCCGCTCCGCGGCATGTGGGATCTCCCCGGACCGGGGCACGAACCCGTGTCCCCTGCATTGGCAGGCGGACTCTCAACCACTGCACCACCAGGGAAGCCCTGTGTCCAAGTTTTTGTGTCCACACATGTTCTCAGTTCTCTTGGGTATATACCTAGGAGAGGAATTGCTGGGTCATAGTGGTGACTCTCTGTCTAACTATTTGAGGATCAGCCGAACCGTTTTTCCGAAGTGGCTGCGCTATTTATTTACATTCCTCACGCAAGGGTTTACCATGACTATTTGTCAGGCTGAGTAAATAATTTCTTCATTGTGAACTGGATACTATTATTTCCAGCACGTAATAGACTAGAAGAGTAAGGCTCGGGAGTGAGTGCCTTGGGCAAAACTGCACATCTCATCAGCCACCGAGCCGGGACTGGGACCCAGCCTGTGGTTCAGGAGCCAGTACTCCTGTTCACTCAGCTGTGAGGCCGACTCGGGCCACCGGCCTGCAGGAGATCCAGTGTGATCGCACTGTTCTACTCCAGCTATGTGTAGTGTCAAGGGAACAGAGTCTAAAAAGGGGTTATGTTTGGGGACAGGAGGAGGGGTTGGTAAGTCCTATTGATTCTGATACGGAAGTGTGTCTTAAGTCTCTTTTCTGGGACTTCCCTGGTGGTCCAGTGGTTAAGACTCTGCCCTTCCAATGCAGGGGGCGCAGGTTCAATCCCTGGTGGGGGAACTAAGATCCCACACACCATGTGGTGTGGCCAAAAAAAAAGTCTCTTCTTTCCTCTATTTTTTTTTTTTAATTATCTGAACTATTACAGTGGCCTCTTAACTGCTTTAACGTCCCTCTCCTTTCCATTCATTAAACACACAAACCCGACCATATCTATCTCCTCCCTTAAAAACAAACAGAGTAAACCAAAATAAAACAAGAAGACAAAATCCAGGCGTTCCCGTCACCTATCTCACAATGTGGGAAATCCTTGGCCTGGCAGAGGTCATTCCAAACTGACCACAGCCTACCTTTCCAGCTCCCTCTCCCACTGCCCTCTTCCACTTATTCCATAAATGTTCACCACAGGCTGTTACAGGCCTGGTCCTGGGACGGGTAGCAGACACACAAATCACCTACAATGTGGTTCCCAAGGTGCCCCCCAGAGATTTATAGCTCATGGGGAGGGAGCAGGCAACTAAACTGATGATTCTAGATCAGTGTGAGGGCTTCATTTCAGGACAGAATCGCTTTTGGGGGGAGTACATGGGCAGGACCCCTAACCCAGCCTAAGAGATCAGAGCTTCTAGAAAAAGGTGAAATTGAGGTGAGTTGTGAAGGATGAGTGCATTAGAAATGAAGAAGGAGGGACTTCCCTGGTGGCACAGTGGTTAAGAATCCGTCTGCCAATTCAGGGGACACGGGTTCGAGCCCTGGTCAGGGAAGATTCCCACGTGCTGTGGAGCTTAGAACTAAGCCCATGTGCCACAACTACTGAAGCCCACGTGCCTAGAGCCCGTGCTCCGCAACAAGAGAAGCCACCGCAATGAGAAACCCACGCATCACAAGGAAGAGTAGCCCCCGCTCACCACAACTAGAGAAAGCCCATGCGCAGCAATGAAGACCCAACGCAGCCAAAAATAAATAAATAAATTTGTAGGAAAAAAAAAAGAAATGAAGAAGGAACAGCAGGTGCAAAGGGCAGGAGGTGTGAAACCAGCTGGCTTCACACTTCATTCCACAGGTATTTACTGAATGCGTCTTAGGTGCCAGGTGCTGTTTTTGGTGCTGGAGATACAGCAGTGACCACAGCAGACCAGACCCTTGCCCCCATGGAGCTGACAGTTCACATGGGGAAAATATCAAAATGTGGGTTGGAGATAAGGAGCGGCAAGCATTTCAGCCACGGGGGCCCATGGACCCCTAGAGTCTGTAGAGGGGTTCCACAAAACCCTTGGAAATTAAATGTAAATATATGTGTGTGTTCATGTTCACACAGGCATTTTCATAGGGAATGGACTCATAAAACTTTATTGCATTCTCAAAGGGATCCATCCATGACCGCCTTGAGCATGGGGGTCCTTATTCTAGGGCCCCTTGTGCGAAACTAAGGAGTTTGACCTTGATGTGGAAGTTCTGGGAGCCAGTAATTCATTTTGAGAAGTGAAAGCATCAGAGCCTGACACTGTGCTCCTGCCAGAGAGAACTCCTTGTGCATTTTCTGCTGCTAAGCCTTTGCTCTTGCTGTTTCTTCCCGACCTGGAGGAATGGAAAGGGCCACACTTTCAAAGCCAGACAGACCTGACTTTGCATCCTGCTTCTACCCACCATTTTCCAGCTGCCAGCCTCCAGTCTTCTCCCTCTGTGAAAAGCTCTGAGGTTTAGATGAGCCTGTAATGTTTGGACGATTTAATGATAATTTTTGTTTGGAAAGTGCCCAGCATATAGTAGCCACTCGGCAAATGTAAGTGCCTCTCGTGGCTAGATGGCTCAGCCGTTCAGAGAGCCCCTCCTGTCTGGGGTCTGGAACTTCCTGGGCAGTTGCTCACATGCCCACAGAGCTTTGTGAGTATCACGAATATCACTCTCAACACACTAATAAACTCACATCTGTATTTATTTGCCCCTGACCTCATCCCATTAATCCACACCACAGCTCACCCTCTATTTTACAGATGAGGAAACTGAGGCTCTGGGAGGTTGAGAGATTTACCAGGAATCAGTAAGTGGCTGGAAGCATCCCATCACCACATCTTCTAAAATAATAATAATGACAGCAGTAACAACAACAGTGAACATTTATTATGCTTACTTTGTGCCAAGCGCTGTGATGAGCACTTTACCTGCCTCACAACCCCCAATTCCAGCCCCCACCTCTCGGCAGTACTATTGTGGGTACTGCTGTAAGGTAGGTACTATTGTTATGAGAACCGAGGCTCAGAGAGGTTAAGCAACTTGCTCAGGATAACCCAGGCCAGTTTTCAAGTCCACTCTCAGACCTTGATCTAACTCCACAGAGAAACCCGGGTCATTCTGCCTCTCGGAAAACTCTACTCCCAAGTGCACAGTTCAAAACCCCACCCAAGGCTGCCCTGCATCGCGGTCAGTCTGCTCCAGCCGAGTTGTTCTTTGTTTTGACCAAGGATACAGAGGGCGCTGCCCCGATTCTGTCTGGGGGGCCGAGGGGGAGGGGAGGGGGAGGGAGTAAGGGTGGACATTTTAGGTGCAGGGGCGTGTGCCGGGGAGAGTATCTGGGGACCAGAGGACGAGTCACGTGCCCGTGAAACTCGACCTAGGGGGAGGGTTAGGGAAGGGAGCCCCCGCCCCTACCTCGGGGTGCAGCCCCGGCCGGTTGTAAGTACAACTGTTCACTCCGTCGATCCACTTCGTCCTAGCCTCATTTCGCGGATTGGTGGCGCCCGCCGGGTTCCCGTTCCCCGACTTCTTCCGATGGGACCGAGGCGGTGAGAACACCAGGCTGTCCGGCAGAATCTCCGAGGCCGCCCAGACCCGGCGCGCAGAGAAGCCCCGAGCGCCGCTGCGGTTCCGAGCTGGGCCCGCTGGACACCGGACGCCGAAATTGTGCACGCGCCGCTCCCCGACCGGTCGGCGGCTACAGGAGGCGCGTTTGCCCCGGATCAGAGGTGAGCAGCGGGTGCGGCTGGGGTCCGGGTCCCGGGCTGAACGTTCTCTGAGAGTCACCCGGCTGGCTCCCACCGACACTTCCAGGCTCCCCAAGAAAGACCCGTTACCTGAGCCCGTGGGTCCCGCCTCTCCAAGCGCGTCCCTCCTTCCCCTTTGGTCTGGCCCCTCGGCGCCCTCTCTTGCTGCACTGCCTCCGTTTAGAGAAACACTCTTGTCGGAGTTCGAACGGACCTGCGGGAACTCCTAAATGCAAAGCCCCATTTCACAGATGAGAGTACTGAGGCCCTCCGGCGAAGGCATTCGTGCTTTGCTCCGCTCCCTCGCGCCCTTTCTCTCTTGCCCTTCCTGTCCCCTCTCCTCCCTGCTTTTCTCGGTCTCACCGGCCTCTCTCCGCCCCCGCGCCGCCCGCGCCCCGTCTCCTCCCGCGGCGGCGGCCGTGGCCTAGGCGGAGGGGGTGGGGGTGGGTGCTGGGGCTCCTTCTCTCTTCGGTAAACCCACCCTCCCCCCAGCCCCTCCGCCGCCACTGCTCTTATAAAGTCAGCGGCCGTCGGACTTCCTGCGGGTGCCCGAGCCCCCTCCCCGGGCGAGAGAGGGCGGGCATGTTCCCCGGCTCGCAGCTGGGTGCCCGTGTGAGTGGGTGGCGCCGGCGGCGCTGGAGGGCCTGCCTGGGTCTCCTTCCACGTGGCAGCTGTCGGCTTAGACCGAGAGACTGTAGGGACTTGGGTCGCCTAGTGCGGAAAGGGGGAGGGCTTGCTGAAGCCCGGCCCCAGAGAAGAGGAGTGGTCTTATAGGGGCAACAGGAAGAGGGGAGGGTGTCCTTGAGCTAACATCAGACTTCCCCTTCCTCCCCCTGCTTGCTTCTGGGGGTCCTTCCTGGAGCGGGAGGCCGGATACTGGCCAGCGGTTGCTTCAGAGCGCGCCCTGACCCTTGCTGACCTTTGGGGACTTGGGGAAGTGCGGGATTGGTCTCCGGGAGCCGGGCTCTGCGTGCCTTGGCCAGGGTGGAAGAGCCCGGCAGCGCGCCAAGAAGCTGTTGCGCACAGACAGGACCTTCCTTGTCTCTGATAGTGACACGGCGGGAGCCCAGCGCCTCGTGCGCCCCTGGCGCTGCCAGTGCGCCCAGAGCCAGCTCGGCGGCACCCGCTGGGAAGCCCAGGGCTCTATGGGGCCTCCATGAAGGCCCCCTTGCGGGCTGGCTCGAGGGGCCTCGGGAGCCATCATGATACAGGATGCTTCTCTCGGTCCTCTGGGCCCTTCGCTCAGTGCTCTGCTCCTGGGCAGGCTCGCGACCAGTATGGCCCCCACGCTGGAGGAGGCGTACCGGAGGCGCTGGTGGATGGCGTGCACGGCCGTGCTGGAGAACCTCTTCTTTTCCGCGGTGCTCCTGGGCTGGAGCTCCCTGCTGATCATGCTCAAGAACGAGGGCTTCTATTCCAGCATGTGTTCAGGTATGCCCGAGAAGGGGCCGGTGGGGCTCGGGAGGGGCAGCAGAGGGGGAAGGTGGTCGCCGGCAAAGGACAGGTGGCCAAGGAGACAGAAAGCCGGGCTGCTCAAGACCGAGCACTCCGCAGGGGTTTGGGCGGCCCCACTTCTTGACCTCTTCAAACTTCCTCTAGAGAATGACCCACTCTACCTCATTCTTCGAATCCAGTTTTCACTGAACGCCAGGCGTCCTGCGGGCGTCCATATCCTGGGACTGATCCCTTTGCAGCCTCAGGTCTAGAGCAAGGTGGCGACTCCCAGAAGTGCAGCAGCAACTAGCTGGGTGAGGGATTTCTTTCTAGGGCTATTGTGAGGCTGAGTGAGGCAAACGAGAGCCTGCAAGCTGGATTTGATTGTAAAGGGAGGGGGAGGCAGTGTGCTTCTCCTTTTCCAGGCCACTTGAGCCCCCAGGTCTTCAAGGAACCATTTGTACAAAGTTAATGGCCTCATTTCCTCCAGGCCCCCACTTGTGGACGGTCCCTGTTTTCCACTTTGGTCACCTTGGCTTTGAATCAGGGGCTGTGGATGCAGGAGTGAGAATTCTAACAATCCTTGGGAGCAGTAACCACATCCCTGCCGTCTTCAGGTGCCTGGAGGCAAGGAGTCGCCCTTCCTAGTGTCTGGGACTTGAGGCTCTCGTGATCTGATAGGTATCTTTCTTTTCTGGGAAGGAGAGAGCTGTGCGGACAAGCTCAGCCTAAGGAGCTCGAGGGATGTGGAGTTTGCCCCCCCCCCGCCCCCTTATCCTCTTCCTCCAACCTCCTTGCTGTGGAACAGGCTTTGGAAGAAGGCCAGCTTGGGTTAGAATCCCAGCTTCCACCACTTTTAGCAGCTGGGTGACATTGGCGAGTTCCCTAAAACATTGAGCTTCAGTCGCCCGGCCTGCAAAATGGGAAAAAGAGTAAGTTATCTGTGCTGAGTGTCAACAGCGCTTGATCAATGTTAGGTCATTCCTGGCTTCTGCTGGCTTCTCCGAGCTTCTCCCAACTCCTCAACTCCACTCCCTGCAGGCGTCTTCCTTGGCTGTGGGAGAAAACCGTTGCCTTGGGGGGTGGAGCTGGGGTGCTCTTGATCTCTGGGCAGCACCCACTCTGCTCCAACCCCCCGCCAACCTTATCTTTAAGGAAGCAGCAGGTGGCACCAAGGATGCAAGGATGCACTTGCATATCCTGGCCCCAATTACAGGGTGCTGTGGAGCCTGAGGAGATGGAGATTAGAGTTGGCAGCTGGCCAGGGGAGGCAGGTTGGGTCAGGAGGAGCTGGCTTGGGGTGAAATGCTGGGTGCTCCAGGGTGGCTGAGAGAACCAAACAGAGGGGTGTGGGATCCCTTTGCCAATAGAGGCCAGGAGTCCAGGTCCCCTTTGAGTTGTTTACCCTGGAGGCTGGAGAGACCTGCCCTTTGCTACCTGCTGGCCTTGATGCCTGCTGCTGCCCATCCGGTGGCTTCTTCCTGCCTTCTCCACCTGTTTTTTTTTTTTTTGAGGTACGCGGGCCTCTCACTGTTGTGGCCTCTCCCGTTGCAGAGCACAGGCTCCGGACGCGCAGGCTCAGCGGCCATGGCTCACGGGCCCAGCCATGGCTCACAGGCCCAGCCACTCCGCGGCATGTGGGATCCTCCCCAGACCAGGGCATGAACCCGTGTCCCCTGCATTGGCAGGCGAACTCTCAACCACTGCGCCACCAGGGCAGCCCTACCTGTTTTTTTTAATCAACTTTATTAAAGATTAATTTACATCACACATCTTGATGAGGTTTGACAAATTTACACACCTCGGGAACTGTCACCACAGTCAATATTTAGAATATTTCCATCATCCCCAAAGCTCCTTCCCTTTTGCTGCCCACCCTTCCACCTTTTTAAAAATATGGATAAGAGCTAGGTTAAGATATAAGTCACATATGTTACAGTTCACCCATTTAAAGTATACAAATTAATGGTTTTTAGTTTATTCAGAGTTGTGCCACCATCACCACAACCAATTTTAGGACATTTTCTCTACCCCAAAAAGTCACCCTGGACCCACTAGCAGTACCTCTCCCCCAACCTGTTCTTTTACCCTCAAGCACTAGGCAGCCAATCATCTACTTTCTGTTACAGGTTTGCCTATGACACAAATAGACTTGCCTATTCTGAACATTTCATATAAATGGCATCTTATAATAGGTGATCTTTTATAACTGGCTTTTTGTCACTTAGCATGATGTTTTAAAGGTTCATTCATGTTGGCAAACGTATCAAGCCTTGGTTCCTTTCCAAGTCCTTTGCTACCACATTTTATTTATGCACTCGACAGTTGATAGACATGTGGGTTGTTTCCACTTTTTGGCTATTATGAGTAATGCTCCTGTGAACACTCATGTTCAAGTTCTGTGTGGACATATGCTTTCCTTCCATATGGAATTGCTGGGCCATAGGGTAAGTCTATGTTTAACATTTTGAGGAACTGCTAGACTGTTTTCCAAAGTGGCTGGGCCATTTTACATTCCCACCAGCAGTGTAGGAGGGTTCCAGTTTCTCCACAGTCTAGACAACACTTGTTATTGTTTATCTTTTTTATTACGGCCCTTCTCGTGGACATAAAGTGTTATATTTTTGTGGCTTTGATTTGCATTTCCCTAGTGGCTAATGATGGTGAGCATCTTTTTCATGTATTTATTGGCCATTGGTATTTCTTCCTTGGAGAAATATCTATTCAGATCCTTTACCCTTTTTTTTTTTTTTGCGGTACGCGGGCCTCTCACTGTTGTGGCCTCTCCCGTTGCGGAGCACAGGCTCCGGACATGCAGGCTCAGCGGCCATGGCTCACTGGCCCAGCCGCTCCGCGGCATGTGGGATCTTCCCAGACCGGGGCACGAACCCGTGTCCCCTGCATCGGCGGCGGACTCTCAACCACTGCGCCACCAGGGAAGCCCCCTTTGCCCATTTTTAAATTGGGTTATTTTTATTATTGAGTTGTAAGAGTTCTTTGTATAGTAGATACAAGTCCCTTATCAGATATAGTTTTTGGAAAATTTTTCTCCCACCATGGGTTGTCTTTTCATATTCTTCATGGTGTCCTTTGGAGCACAAAAGTTTCTTTCTTTTTTTGGATTATTTTTTAAAAATTGAAGTATAGTTGATTTACAATGTTGTGTTAGTTTCTGGTGTGCAGCAAAGTGATTCATATATATATATGTGTATATATATATGTACACACACATATATGTATATTCTTTTTCATATTCTTTTCCATTATGGTTCATTGCAGGATATTGAATATAGTTCCCTGTGCTATACAGTAGGTCCTTATTGTTTATCTGTTTTATCTCTAGTAGTTTGTATCTGCTAATCTTAAACTCCTAATTTATCCCTCTCCTCCTTTACCCTTTGGCAACCGTAAGTTTGTTTTCTAGGTCTGGAGCATAAAAGTTTTTAATATTGGTGAAGTCCAAGCTGTCTTTTCTTTTGCCGTTTGTGTTTTGGTGTCATGTTTAAGAAACCATTGCCTAATCTAAGGTCACAAAGATTTATGCCTGTGTTTTCTTCTAAGAGTTTTAAGGTTTAAGCTCTTATATTTAAACCTTTGATCCATTTGGAGTTAATTTTTGTATGACCAGGGATTGAACCTGTGCCCCCTACAATGGAAGCGTGGCATCTTAACCGCTGACCACCAGGGAAGTCCCAAGTTCATTAGTGAGGTGCTCATTAGTGTCGGCTTTGGGGTTCCCTGGCCACACCCTCTGTCTTCTCAGGTTTCTGCTCTCCCTCTTTTGAGGTACACCCTGGCGTAGATGGTTGACCCACCTGTTGGGGCATCACAGCTAAAGAGGACTCTTACTCAGAAGTAGGCAGGGGTAATTCAGCTTCTCACACACAACTGCATATCCAGCATAAGTGCCAAAATAAGAAAACAGTAGCTAAAGTTCATCAAGCATTGACTATTTGCTAGTTAGATCTTTAGTCCTCACAACAACTCTTTTTATAGAAGGGAAAGCTGAAGCTCAGAGACGCTAAGTAATTTCCCCAAGGTCACACAGCTAATAAATAAGGAGCCGAGTGAGTATTCAGCCCCAGAACCTTTCTCCGAGGCCTTAGGATTAAGAGTTCCCCTGGGGGAGCCCCGTCACAGAGAAGACAAGTAGCCAGAGCCCAGTTCTGCGGGTGTTGTGGTGAATGTGGCTATGTCAGCTGCAGGAGAATGAATGATGGGGCAAGGGTGGGGGATGGTGAGGAAGGGCTCAGAGACCTGGGATCATTTTGTGAGTACTGTGTGTGTGCAGCAGTCCTTAGAGCCCACCTTTTACATGGCTGCAGTCACTATCCCCATTTCACAGAAGGGATAGCAGAACCTCTGAGTTTCAGCAGCACAGCTAGTGGAGCCAGAATTTGGACATGAAGAATGCTTAACCATGATCCTCTCTCCTGTGTTTCCTACACCTAGTCATTTGCAGTTCACCTTCATGATTTTACCATTTCTGTGTGCCATAGGTACTATTATTTACTTAATACTTCCTTTTAAATCAATCCACTTTTTAAAAAATAAAAAGCCTCATTTTAAAGTGTAATATTCTTGGGACTTCCCTGGCGGTCCAGTGGTTAGGACTCTGCGCTTCCACTGCAGGGGGTGAGGGTTCATTCCCTGGTCGGGGAACTAAGATCCTGAAAGCTGTGCGGCGTGGCCAAAAAATAATTAACTAATTAATTAAATTAAATTAAACTAAAGATCCTGTTTAAAAAAAAATGCGTAATACTCTTGGAACCTTGAGTTTGATGTTACTCAGACACACATACACACATACATCATACGTATATATTTCTAATACATACATATATGTATATGTGTGTTTGATACACATTCAAATAACTAATAACTATGAAACATCAAAAACCATTACCTGTACAGTTGACCCTTGAACACGGGTTTGAACTGCTTACGATTTTTCCCAACAGTAAATAGTACAGGACTACACGCTCCGTGGCTGGTTGAAGCTGCGGCTGCAGAAACGCAGATACGGAGGTACCCCACAAAGGGAGGGCTGACTAAATTACAGGCGGATTTTCCAAAGCACGGGGGAAGGGTTGAGGCCCCTAACCCCCTGAGGTTCAAGGGTCATCTCTACCTCTAAACCCATCTTGAGTGCGTACATGCTGTGCGTACCACACTTTGAGAAACGCTATTTTCTCTGGCTTCTAAGCCCACCTCTATCACTAACTTACTGCATATGTGTTCCCTGGTGCACCCCATGCTTCACCTGTCTATAAAATGGGAGAGGTTAGATGTCAAAGACCTCTCCTGTTCTAATGGACATGGACAGAGGTCTTTGCATGCTGGCTTGGCTTCCCTCTTGGTTCAGAAGTCTGGCTTAATCTATAAAAAGGTACAAATGAACTTATTTACAAAACAGAAGTAGAGTCACAGATGTAGAAAACAAACTTATGGTTACCGAGGGGGAAAGGGAGGGGGAGGGATAAATCGGGAAATTTGGATTGACATATACACACTACTATATATAAAATAGATAACTAATAAGGACTAATGTGACATGGTAAATCAACTATACTCCAATAAAAAAATTTTTTTAAATGCAAAAGAAAACAGAAGTAGCAAGAGCTATTGATATTAACTGTTTCTTTCAATTTGGGGGAGAAAAGGAAATAGACTCTAAAAAATTAAACAAGGGAAGAAATATGAAAAAGTAAATAAAATAAAAGTAATTAAAAACAGTTATAATAATTTTTCATAACATATTTAATCCAACATATCAAAACATTATTATTTCAACATAATATTAAAAACATGATTAATATTAAAAAATAAAATAGATAACTAATAAGAACCTACTGTATAGCACAGGGAACGCTACTCAGTGCTCTGTAATGACCTATACGGGAAAAGAATCTAAAAAAGAGTGGATATATGTATATGTATAACTGATTCACTTTGCTGTACAGCAAAAACTAACACAACATTGTAAATCAACTATACTCCAATAAAAATTAATAAAAAATAAAAAGTACATTGCAAAAAAAAAAGAAGTCTGGCTTTATCCAACCACTCAGAGTCATCAGGCCTTAGGAACTAGCTCTTATTAGTCAAACTCACAAGAGGCTGATCAATTTAAACCAGAAAAGTGAATGCATTAATTGACCTTGGGTTATTCGCCATACACTAGGCTGGAGTTCTCCACCAATAGAAGAACACATTTCCTCGCCAGCACTAGCGCAGGCTTTGAAAACTTACTAAGCTGCCCTGTTCAGGATAGAGGGGCCCATTGGGGTAACGGGGAAGTGTTGGCTTTGGAGAGGGTCTTGAGTGTGAATCTAGGCCTGCCTGTGAGAAGTTGTGTCACTGTGACGTACCTTGCTTCTTGGAGCTTCATCGTCTATAAAATGGGGATCATTACACTCACTTTGTAGGGTTGTGAAGATTAATTGATATACTATATGGAAAAGCGTGGCACAAAGTAGGTATTAATTAGTTGAGGGCTAGTGATGGAAAGTGTCATTTGATTGTGAAAGACTGAGGAGCAGGGACCGTGTCTAATTCAGGGGCTGCAAACTCAGATGCCAACAGGGGCCAGGCAGTTAATAACAATTGGGTGGTAATGTCCAATATGAGAATACAGTCAGTAATAGTACATCTGGTGACAGGTGGTAACTAGACTTACTGTCGTGATCATTTTGTAATGTATACAAACATCAAATTACTATGTTGTACACATGAAACTAATATATTGCGTGTCAAATATACTTCAATAGAAAACCTAATAATAATTGGGCCAATCAGGGCAGATAGAAGATGGCAGATGTCTGAGAGCTCATGAAGAGGTGAGGACGTGGGTGACTTAGAGAGGGCAAGCCCTGGTGGAAAGGAGTGGTCTCTCCTCGGCTCCAGCGATGGCCAGATCTTCTGACTTACTAAAGAGAAGCCAGACTTCTGGATTTTTAGGTGATAACTCCTGATTTTAAACTGGCACCCAATTAAAATTTGCAAGCCAAGCAAAATATGGGTGGGGTTCATTGCTGGTCACCTGTTTGTAGCCTCTGGTCTAAATTAGCATTGCACTTCTTCCTGCTTTACCCACTGTCCCGACACAGTGCCTGTCGTACAGTAGATGTCGCTTAAGTGTATGTAGATTGAATGAAAAGGTGCAGACAAACCTGGTAGAGAAATGAACAGTGACGATGAAGATCACTAAATTGGGGGGGGGGCTAGCCTGAACCCCAGAGGCTGTGTGCTTTAAACCCCTAACCCCTTCTTTCAGGTACTTGAGCACCCCATTGCCCAAGGGGCTTTCTCCTCTGGTTGGCCAGCACTCATGCTTTGAAAAGAATCCATTCTCTTCTTCCTTATGTCAGCTTTCTGCTGTCTGCATGCCCTTTGGATACCTGAAGTCAGGGGTCACTGTCACCACGGAGGGCAGATACTTCCCCTTCCCAGCATTCAGCACTATCACATCTTCCTGTTTTGTTCTCTTCATAGCACCTGTGACTCTTTATATCAGTGTCCATTTGTTTCCTTGTTTATTATCTAATACAAGCCCCATGAGAGCTGAGAGCTTCCTGTCTTTCTCACCGTGAGTTCCCCGGCACCGAGAGAAGAGGCTCGCCACACCGTGGCTCCCCCGGGGGGCCACCGTCTACCCCTTCATCAGCTGTTTCAGGACACCCTCTCTGGGCCAGGACCCTCCTCCAACTGAATCTCCTAAGGAGCCTGGGTTAGGCATTCTCTGCTCCTTTTTACAGGCAAGGGGCCTGAACCTCAAAGAGAGGAAGTTACTTGTCCAAGGTTGCACAGCTAGTAGGGATGGTGGTGGGAATTCAGACCCTGGTCTGTCCACCTTCCAGGTGCACCCTGACTTTGCCCTTGGCAGTGATGCCTAAGTAACAAGTAGGAGGCAGGGGAGCCGCCACCTCGTGACTCACTGAGCATTGGGTGAAATGAAACCCGCCTCCTTCCCACGCCACCAGCCTTTTTCATTAACTTGACACAACTCCAAGTTGGCCTTTTACCTGGAGGACGCGTCTTCTGGGAGGTGGACTTGCAGAGGAGCACCGGAGGGCAGTGCCGTGGTCCTAATTCTGCGCCTCAGTTTCGTTATCTGGAGAGTGGGGATACTTTATTAGCTGACTCCTGGGGCTGTCATGAGTTAAGACAGTGACCGCTGAGAACATGCCTAGAACACAGTTAAATGCTCAACGAATAGTAGCTCTTATTTTATCAGAACGTCATGTATGGGGAAGCGTCCTCTAAGTTTTAAGGGAATTCTTGTTACATCATTTGAGCATCACCCACTGATGTTGTCCTGGATTCGAGGGTGCTTCCTATTGGATCCTATTGGGTGGATCCTATTGGAGATCCTCAACCCCTTAAGCTTGGACACTGAGTGAATATTTCAATGTGGTAAATACTTCGATGTCCGTGATTCCATTTGAGCTAGTTGAGGCCTCAGGTTGGGTATATGACTCTCCCTGGGTCAGATACTGATTGCTCCCGTTTATGGAGCCCCTTCCCCACCAGAGTAGGCATAATTCCAAAGTCACCTGGTTAGCAGCCAAGCAGAGGCATGCGACTTGAGTGCAGGACCCCTGATCCCAGGCCTCTGTCCTGTGCCCAGCTGCTCCCGCCGTCACGTGCTGCCTTTCCCTTCCCGTCCTCAGCTGCGAACACTACCAACACCAGCCAGGATGAGCAGCGCCAGTGGCTGAGCTGTAACCAGCAGGAAGAGATGCTCAACCTGGGCTTCACCATCGGCTCCTTCGTGCTCAGTGCCACCACTCTGCCGCTGGGGATCCTCATGGACCGCTTCGGGCCCCGGCCCATGCGGCTGATTGGCAGGTGAGGTGGCTGGGCTGTGGGGAACTGGAAGGGGCTTTGGGGAGCTGCGGGGCAGGACTGGTGCGGCAGGGGGAGGGGAGGCACAGAGTGTTCAGCCCCTCCCCCTTCCCCTGCATCTCCACAGCGCCTGCTTCGCTGCATCCTGCACCCTCATGGCCCTGGCCTCTTGGGACACCAAAGGTGAGATGTCTGGCCTCTCGTGTCCCCACAGGAAAAGAATGGGTGGGATGAAGGTGGGTGTTACCCCAGCTCCTGCCTTTAGCCTCCCACAGCTCCCCAGTGCCTCATTCATCCCTCTCCGCTTCCCAGTTCTGTCTCCGTTGATATTCCTGGCCCTGTCCCTGAATGGTTTTGGTGGCATCTGCCTAACATTCTCTTCACTCACAGTGAGTATGACAGGTCCCGACTCGGCAGCAGGTCACCCAGGAGTGAGTGAGGGTGAGGGTGGGAGAAGGGCCTGTGGACGCAGATCACATGCACGTGTGTGTCTGTATGTGTGTGTGTGTGTGTGTGTCCCAAGCCCATACAGCTGTTGAACTCTGTCCTGGGGCCACAGCACAGAAAGAACTGACAACTTCTTCACCTTTCTGGAACTTATATTCAGGAATTGGGGGAACAGACAACCCTAAAAACAAGTGAACTAATAAATGATATCCCTAGTCGTAAGTGCTGGAAAGAATAAAACTGGGTAATGCGAAAGTAAGGGCGGTGGGCAGCTTGAGACAGTGGGCGTGTGTTTGTTTGCCACGTGTATATGTGGTGCTGTCCATGGGTAGGTAGATGTGTTTGTGAGTGTGTTAGGTTGAACCATATAATACTGCCGACACTTGACTGCGCTTGGCCTACAGAAAGGGCTTTTTCCCTGGGCTTGACCTCTTCCATGTGTGTTCGGTGTGTGTTACTCTAAGTGTACACGCGAATGAGTGCAGAAGGGTTAAAGGCTTCAGCGTGTGTGGTGGGAGGAGGGGCTCCTGGCCGGCCAGCCTCGGGCTGTTTATCTCAGAGGAGGGCCGCCTGACCGCCAAACTGGGTGTTTTTTGGCTGAATTTCACCTCGCCCAGCAACTGCCTTTAATTCCAGCCCAGGACATTTCACAACTTTCTAAGGAAGCGGATCGCTTCATCCCCGCCTCCCTCCGCAGCCCCTTCTCCACGCTGCGCACCCTGGCTCAAGGCCCTAAAGCCTTTCTCTCCCCTGCCCTCCGGGGCCTAACCTTGAACCCTGCCCTGGGGCCTAGGGGGCTCTCCGCCCGCAGCCCGCCCCCTGCTCCGCCACCGTAATCTCCAGCCAATGACAGGACCCGGCTCCGGTCCCGCCCCCGGCTCCGGTCCCGCCCCCGGGCCTAGGTGCTCGCGGGCCAGGACAGATCCGAGCCGGGACGGTCAGCGCCCTGCGGGGACCGCGGCCAGGCCGGCCTGGGCCGTGCTGGGCGGAGACAGCGCTCTCGGACCCTGGCGGGGGGTAGTGAGGGGCGCCAAGGCCCCCGCCGCTCCCCCGGCCCTAGCGCTTCTCCATGGCGTCCTTGCAGCCCGCCTCGCACAGACAGGGTGCCAGGGGGTCAGGGCGGCCGCAGCTGTTTTTCATAGCAGCTTCGAGGTTGATGGGTCAGTTCTCTGTGTTTATTCGCCTTCCCCTCCAGAGCTATTTGAGATCCCCTTCTGGAGCCCCGTTCTTCCCTCTGTGGAGAGGGTTTTAGCTTTGCATGGCATCTAAGACGCTTCCAGCCGTGGGATCTGTGGACTGGGGGGAGGAGGGAGAGGTGGGAGCACACAAAGGGCTGGGTGACTTTGCTTTCCCCTCCCCTGAGGGCCCGGCTCAGGCCAGTGGGTAGAACACACGGTCAGTTCTCTACTGGTAGGAATTCTGGGTCTGCCCTGCGGGTCAGAGCCTCCTCTTCTGGACACCTGGCCTGGCCCTGTTTCCCCCCTACTCCCACCCTCACCTCCCTAGTCATCCTGTTACTTGTCCTGGCTCAGTAGGAACGATGGACTGGGGGCCTCTGGGGCCACCGAGAAGGTTAAGGGGCACCATCCTGTTACAGAGCCAGCCATGGTCACAGCCTTGGGTTCTGGGATAGAACTCGGATGGCCAGGACAGGGCAGAAAGTCAGTAACGTGCTCTGTGAGCTTGAGTACGTTCCTTTCCCGCTCCAGGCCTCAGTGCTCTCATCTGTCAAAGGAGTTACTGTAGGTTAGTGTTTCTTGAACACCTAACCCATGGGTTATTAAGAGGCGAGTCATGATTAAGGGGTTCCATAAATAAGTAACTTGGGGCTTCCCTGGTGGCGCAGTGGTTGAGAGTCCGCCTGCCGATGCAGGGGACACGGGTTCGTGCCCCGGTCCGGGAAGATCCCACATGCCGCGGAGCGGCTGGGCCCGTGAGCCATGGCTGCTGGGCCTGCGCGTCCGGAGCCTGTGCTCCGCAACGGGAGAGGCCGCAGCAGTGAGAGGCCCACATACCGCAAAAAAAAAGTAACTTGGGAAACCATGGGGTTAAACAAAACTTCTCTTTGTGGGCACTTCTTTGTGTGGGAGGGGAGTACAGCCCAGTTTCCGACCCTGATTTTGCCTTAGAACTTTTCTGTTGCGACTCTGGGGCTGGTGTTCCTGGAGCTCACGTTGAGGACTCCTGGGCTAGAAGCTTCCAAGCTTGCTCGGGCGGAGAAAGGGGAGCCCTGGGCAGGTGTCAGGGTCTCCCTGCTCACTGACACTGCTCTCCTCTCTCAGCTGCCCAACATGTTTGGGAACCTGCGCTCCACTTTCATGGCCCTCATGATCGGCTCCTATGCCTCTTCTGCCATCACGTACCCGGGAATCAAGGTACGGAGCTGCCTGGGGAGTGGGCAGCTGGTGGGCAGTGAGGTCGCTTGGCCTTCCTTCTGCCTTGACGCAAGACCTGGGTGGGGCTGGGCGCATAGGATATCTGGTGACCTTCCCGCCAGGCGGAGGTCAGTTCCCACCACGGCAGGGCAAAGCACTGCAGCATCATGGGAAGAGCCCAGGTGCTGCTGTGGACCAGTGGGTCTGACTTCTCTGCTGCTCTGTCCAGGCCTTCATCCTCGCTCCTGGGCCAGTGCTTTCTCAGCTGATCTCCCTGCCTCCAAGCTTTTCCCTCTCTAAGCTGCCATTCACGTGACTTCCAGAATGACCTTAGTTGGAGGACTAGCTCATCCACCCACTCTGCTTCGCCTACAGAATCAGGTCCAACCCCTTCACATGCCTTCAAGGCCCTCGCCTCTTTGGCCTCAGCCCACCTTTCAGGCCATATCTCCTTCCCCAGCCCTGAAGAAGCTGGATGACTTGGGTCCAAGGTCACCAAGCTAGTTCAGGCCTGGCCAGCTCCTAGACAGGTCAGCCTGGTGGACCTAGAGCCGGAAGGCCTGAGTTCTAGCTCTGGGCAAGTTTGGGGCCTCTTTCCTCCCTCTGATATCAAAGTACCCTTCCAGCTGGGCCGCACCATGCCCCTCAGATTCTGCCTTGGGCAGTTAATTTATTGGTTTAGAAGGTACTCGCTCAGCATCCATCGCCAGAGGAGGTGGAGAGCACACTGATGGGGGTGACCAACAATTGTTCAGGTAGGAGCAGGCCTGGAGCTGGGGGTCCCCGTTCCCTTGACTAAGGCAGTGGGATTTGAGGAACCAGATCTTGGCGGGTGTGGCCCTTTGAAGTTCTGTCCTGCTCCCGGGGAAGAAAGAGCCCCAAAGCCTGCGGCCCAGGAGGAGCAGTTTTCCCAGGCAGCACTGGAGCTTGGAGCCTGAGTGGAGGGGAGACAGCAGCCATCCCAGGCAGAGGGTGGCAGGCAGGACATTTCTACATACCTGGCTTCCTCTCTAGAGCAGTTGCAACGTTGGCACAGAATCCCAATCGATAGAGAACCTGCTTGTCCCGGGGTTGGGAGGCTGTGGGCAGAGTGCTTGCACACGCCCCTCCTCTTTCAGTTGTCACACCTGTGCAAGGTGAGATAAGGCTTCTCAGACTGGGTTTGTCTTTCCCCCAGGGAGGGTGCCCAGAAGGGGCAGGAAAAACACGGTTAGGCGCTTGCATCGTCCTCTCTCGTACATAAAATGAAATGACTTCCATGTGAAAACAAAACGTGTATGGAGTCAAAGGCAACACTGGTGTGTCTTTTTAAGATAATAATTGAGATTTCAAAGACATTTTGAGCTTGTGGCCGGCCCCTTCGGTACCATGTGCGAACTATTTCACACCTCTTGAGGGGGGCTGGGGTGAGAAAGGAAGAGGATGGTGGGGCTTCTAGATCCAGCTCTTAACTTCTGGTCTTGGTTTCTTTGTCTGCAAATTGGGTACAAGGAATGGGGTAGAAGAGACCTTCTCTAAGGCCTCTGGGGCCTGGGTTCTACCTCCAGCTGGAGGACGCGGGCCTGGGGCTGGGCAGCCTCCTCCATGGCCCGTCCCCTCCCCCGACAGCTGATCTATGATGCCGGCGTGTCCTTCATGATCATCATGTTTACCTGGTCAAGCCTGGCCTGCCTCATCTTTCTGAACTGTGCCTTCAACTGGCCGAGTGAAGCCTTTCCCTCGCCGGAGGAAGTCAACTACAAGTGAGTGACCGGGGTGTGTGGGGTGGGAGGGTGACTCCCCCGCTGCAGATCTGGAGGTCGGGGTGTGGTGGTATGATGTACAGAAGCAGCTGTGGACTCAGAGCAACCAAGATTTGCCGATCATCTGAGCTTTCCAAGTTCCGCTTTCTCATCTGAACCGTGGGCCTGATCCCACCCACCTGCAGGTGTTCTGAGTAGATCAGGCATAAAGCAGGCAGCCAAAACGTGGGGACTGTCTTCTTCTGTCCAGGTTTGGAGGATGGGATCAGAGTAGGAGGGACCGTTGCAATAGTGCCATGTGCTACGGGGACCCAGAAAGGGGGGGAACAGAGGAATGAAATCCCACCCTTTGTGGGGCAACCTGAATGCCAGCTTTACCTACCCCCCCAATCAGTTCCCCAGGGGGCTGGAGTGATGCCCCACAACCAGGCACCTAGGGTGCCAGTCAAATAGCTGATGCTGAGGGAGCATCTCCTGTGTGCCAGGCACTGTGCTCAGTGCTCATTCTCAGTCAGCTCTGTGACGTGGGTTCTGTTATTAACTCCATTCATAGCACAAGGCACAGGGAACAAAGTGGCTTCCCTAAGGTCGTACCACTGAAGGGGGGAGGGGGGAATCTAAGGCTGGAATCAGAACTCCAGAGTCTGAGTTCTTTTTTTTTTTTTAATTTATTGAAGCATAGTTGATTTATAATGTTGTGTTAGTTTCAGGTGTACAGCAAAGTGATTCATATATATATATATGTATACTTTTTCAGATTCTTTTCCCTTATAGGTTATTATAAATATTGAGTAGAGCTCCCTGTATTATACAGTGGGTCCTTGTTGGTTATCTATTTCGTATATAGTAGTGTGTATATGTTAATCCTGACCTCCTAGTTTATCCCTCCCTCCGCCCCCCCACCCCGGAGTTTGGGTTCTCAATGCTGCCTCCGTGGCTACAGCCCAAGCGGAAAACGGCGCATCCATCCCTCACTTAGCGTGTGCTGAGCTGGCCCCTGGGCCGGGCTCTGAGACACACAGACACAAGCCCTGCCCTTGGGAGCTTGTCAGTGCTGGTTAAAGGGGGGCTTGGCACCCCCTAGAGGCAGGCTGTTGGAGGGGGGCTCTGTGTGGCTGGTTCCCACATGCTGTGGCCTGGCTACTGGCAGGGAGAAGATCAAGCTCAGAGGGCTGGCCCTGGATCACAAGGTGACAGGTGACCGCTTCTACACCTATGTGACCACCGTGGGCCAGCGGCTGAGCCAGAAGGCCCCCAGCCTGGAGGAGGGGGCAGACATCTTCATCTCGTCTCAGGACGTTCGTGACATCTCAGAAAAGTCTGTGGAGAGTGAGTGGCTGTCAAGGTGCCGGCCGTGGGGCACGGAGAGGGTGGGTCCTCGCGCGTAGCGAGCTCCTCATGCCCAGGTGCTCATTCTCTCCTCTTCAGTTCTCACCACACCCCCTCATAGAGGTGGGCCTGCTCCCTGTTTCTAGAATGGGGGCAAATCAAAGTCCCAGGGTACACTGGGAAGCTCAGATTCAGGGGTACTCGGCGCGATTTCTGGGATGTGGGAGGGGCAGCTTCCAGAATGAGGCAGGGTGCCCAGGCCTGTGGGAGGGCTGGTTTCCTCAGGGCTCCCTGCAACCTCCAAGCCTCTTGCATCAGATACTGCAGGTGAGCCAGCCTCCAGGCTGGGTCCTCTGACACCTGGTTGCTTGGCGCCTCCTGCTGGCTACAGGAGGAGCTGCACCTGCCTTCTGCCTGGGCCACTTTGCAAGGTGACAGCTCTGTGACTAGTGGAAGGACGATGGGCCTGGGCGTCAGGAGATGGGGCTTTGAGTCCTGCTTCCCAATTGCAGGCCATGTGGCTTGGGTAGATCACTTAACCCTGCTCTCACTTTCCCTGTCTTTTTTTTTTGCGGTACGCGGGCCTCTCACTGTTGTGGCCTCTCCCATTGCGGAGCACAGGCTCCGGACGCGCAGGCTCAGCGGCCATGGCTCACGGGCCCAGCCGCTCCGCGGCATGTGGGATTCCCCCCGGACCGGGGCACGAACCCGTGTCCCCTGCATCGGCAGGCGGACTCTCCACCACTGCGCCACCAGGGAAGCCCTTCCCTGTCTCTTAAACTAGCAGTAAGAACACCCACCTCACGGGGAAGTTAGTTGTGAGGATTGAATGAAGACAGGGACGTGGAAGCTCTTTGCAAACTGAAAATGCTGTGAAGGTATGAGTCTGATCCCCACTGCCGATCCTCCCATGGCAGAGTTGTTAACAGGCGTGAGCTGAGTCCATCCCACCTGCATCCCACCTTCCAGCCCCATGAGCTCGGGCAAGTCATTGAGCGTTCTGAGCTGCGGTCTCCCCATCTGTAGAATGTGCTGAAGATAGGGTTGTTGTACAATTTGATTACATGGGATAATACCTGTCAAGTGTGCAACACATAGCAAGTGCTTAATAAATAGTAGCTCGAGTTATTATTACCACGCCAAGCCTACCGTACACACCTGGAGGTCACCTGAAAATGTTCTAGTGAGGGAATTCCCTGGTGGTCCCATGGTTAGGACTCCACACTTTCACTGCTGAGGGCCCGGGTTCGATTCCTGGCTGGGGAACTAAGGTCCCACAAGCCATGCAGCGTGGCCAAAAAAGAAAAGAAGATGCTCTAGTGAGATAGTGATAGAGCTGGGCAAGAACTTGGAGGCCAGTAAAGCTGAACCCTCGTTTTTGAAGAAACTGATCCCTCGCCGAAGTCATAGCGTCAGAGCCTCTGCTAGAACTGCATCAGCTGGGACACGCAGAGGCAAGTGGAAGATCTGGGGCTCAGGGGCACCTCCTGTCTCCCCAGAGTCTGTGCCCTTGCGCAAGAGCCTCTGCTCCCCCATTTTCCTGTGGAGCCTCCTCACCATGGGCATGACCCAGCTGCGGATCATCTTCTACATGGCCGCTATGAACAAGATGCTGGAGTACATCGTGACTGGTGGCCAGGAGCATGGTGAGGTGCAGCCGAGCCCACTGGGGGCTGGAGGTGCAGGGGGTCACCCTGGCTGAGCTCCTCTCACCCTGGCTTTCCCCCTCCACCCCCAACAGAGACGGACAACCTGAAACAAAGGGTGACAGAGACAGGTAGGGGGACAAAAGCTCGGGTCCTTGCCCACACCCACCCCGCCACTGCCTGCTGTCGGGGGAGCCTGGACCCACCCTTGTCACCCTGGGCGTTTTGGGGATCTAAGAATTTGGGGGTGAAAAGAAGGTGATTTTGTCATTTTCTCTCCTCTGCTGGGCGTGGGTGACAGTGCCCGCTAGGCTGCTGGCATCTGTCATGTCAGCTCCTGACCCCACTTCTCTTCCTGCCCTGCCCAGTTGAGTTCTACTCGTCCGTCTTTGGGGCCATGCAGCTGTCGTGCCTTCTCACCTGCCCTCTCATTGGCTACGTCATGGACTGGCGGATCAAGGACTGCGTGGACACCCCCACTGCTAGGTGACCTGCCCAGGGGTGGTGACAGCTTTGTGCTTTCACATCCAGCATCTTATTTCATTCTCCCAAGAGCCCTGGGAGAGAAGGGGTACATCCCCATTTTACAGATGAGGAAACTGACACTAGGAGGGGACTTGGCTGGCTTGATAATAAGTACAGCTGACGTCAAATGCTGACTGTGCACTAGGCACTTGCATTGTCCTATTTAGTCCTGCACCAGCTCCCGGAGGTAGGTACCTATATTATTATCCTCGTTTCACAGGTGAGGAGCTGAGATACAGAGAGGTTAACTAACTTACCCAAGATCACACAGCATTTAGTAGTAGGTTCCAGAACCTTTGTTATAAAGAGTACGCTCTAAAGCCTTCTTACGGTTAGAAAGAGATAGAGTTGGTGTATTAGACGTCTATCTATTGCTGTATAACAAATCACCCCCAAACTTGGCATCTTTAAACAACAAACATTTATTATCTCATAGTTTCTGAGAGTCAGGAATCTGGGGATGACTTAGCTGGGTGGTTTTGTCTCAGAGTCTGTCTGAGTCTGTTCAGACTGGTATAACAAAATACCACAGACAGGGTAGCTTATAATCAATGGAAATTTATTTCTCACAGTTCTGGAGGCTGGAAGTCTGAGATCGGGGTGCCAGCATGGTCAGGAGAGGGTCCTCTTCTGGGTGTAAGACTTCTCGTTGTGTCTTCACATAGAAGGACCTAGGGAGCTCTGTGGGGCCTCTTTATAAGGGCACAAGTCAAATCCCGGAGGCCCTACCTCTACCTCTATTTTTGTTGTTGTTGTTTTCTTTTGGCCCTGCCACGCGGCTTGTGGGATCTTAGTTCCCTGACCAGGGATCGAACCCGGGCCCCCTGCAATGGAAGCTTGGAGTCTTAACCACTGGACCGCCAGGGAATTCCTGGCCCTACCTCTTAATACCATCACATGGGCATTAGGATTTCAACATAACAATTTGTGGAGGACACAAACATTCAGACCATAGCAGGGTCTCTCATACGGTTGTGGTCAAGCTGTTGGCCAGGGCCGCAGTCATCTGAAGTACTGACGGGTTGGACAGTCACTCCTAAGCTCACTCGTGTGCCCATTGGAGGAGGTTCAGTTCCTCCCCACCTGGGCCTCTCTATAGTCTGCTCATGACACGGCAGCTGGCTGGCCCCAGAGCAAGACAGCTGAGGGAGGGACACCAGGACAGAAGCAACAAGGTCTTTCATGACGTCATCTCAGAAGTGACATACACGAGTGAGGTTGTCTTCTATAGGCACACAGAGTAACTCTGGAACCTTGTGGAAGGGGACTGTACCAGGGTGTGAATGCAGGATGCGGGGATCATCGGGGCCGTCCTGTGGGCTGCAGACCACCAATGGGTCTTTTTCTCCCCACCACATTTTATTTATTTATTTATTTTTGGCTGTGTTGGGTCTTCGTTGCTGCGTGCGGGCTTTCTCTAGTTGCGGAGAGCAGGGGCTACTGTTCGTCATGGTGCGCGGGCTTCTCATTGCGGTGTCTTCTCTTGTTGCGGAGCACGGGCTCTAGGTGCGCAGGCATCGGTAGTTGCAGCATGTGGGCTCAATAGTTGTGGCTCGTGGGCTCTAGAGCGCAGGCTCAGCAGTTGTGGCACACGGGCTTAGTTGCTCCACAGCATGTGGGATCTTCCCGGACCAGGGCTCGAACCCGTGTCCCCTGCATTGGCGGGCGGATTCTTAACCACTGTGCCACCAGGGAAGTCCCACACCACTGGGTCTCGCACGAAGGTCTTCTGACTGCTTGTGTTCTTTTTGTGTTGATCCAAACAGTCCTGTTTGTCCTGAGAGGATGGGAGAGGGAGACTAGGAGAGAAGTCACTAAGGATGCGGCTTCCCTCCCCACCAGTGGTACCCTGGCCCTGGTACCCAGACTTCCTCCTCTACGCTCTGTTCTGACGGCCATGGTCCATCAGCAGGGCCCTTCTCTCGGACCGGTGGGGCGGCCTGTCTTCATCTGTCTCAGCCTGCTGACCTCTCCTTTGGGCCAGACTCAGAGCCCTTGATTATGCTAGAGGGAGGGGCTTGCTGGGCAGTCAGGGGTCAAGCGGCTGTCCCTAGAGTGTCATCTACTTTTGTCTAGGCTGGTGGGCAGGGACACTTCTGTTGGGGGGCTTCTGATGAGAGATGGTGTGAGAGCTCCCCATTCTCCACCTTCCTTCCCATCCTCGATTCTCAGACTTCAGTGTGCTTACGAAATAGGAGATAGTTTTCCAAATGCAGATTCCAGGGCCCACCACCGGAGATTCTGATGTTTGGGGCAAGGCCCTGGAATCTGCATTTTAAAGAAAAGCTCCAGATGATGCTGGGGGAGCCACGCTTTGAGAAACACAGGGCTGGAGGAATGACTTTCTCCCTTTTCTGCTACCCTGAAAGGGGAGGGACCAGGCTGAGAACCCAGGGGGTGGGGAGGGCTGCCAAGGAGGTCGGTGACGGCCTGTTCTCCTCAGGGACGGCGTGGCCACCAAGTCCGTCAGACCACGCTACCGCAAGATCCAAAAGCTCACCAATGCCATCAACGCCTTCACTCTGACCAACCTTCTGCTCGTGGGTTTCGGCATCACCTGCCTCATCGACAGCTTACACCTCCAGGTACCGACTTCCATCCTCCCCGCTCTCCCTGCCCTGCAGAGTGCCGCCCCGGGCATGCGTCACCCGGCAGGTGCTTTCCAGGAAGCAGGGCCCCCATCCTCTGGGTCTGTCTTCTGGGCCGTCCAGGAAGTGTTTGTAGGAGGTTGGGTTGGGAGGGGGCAGGCGCGTGCAGGCTCCTCACTGTCACCGCCCTCCCTCCTGTGTCCACACAGCTCTTCAGTTCTCCCCGCTCTCTTTTTGGTTTCAGTTTTTGACCTTTGTCCTGCACACCATGGTCCGAGGCTTCTACCACTCGGCCTGTGGAGGCCTCTACGCAGCAGTGTGAGTCAGCTGGGCTCCTGGGCTCCCCTGAGCGCGCCCTTCCGCAGCCTCCCTGGGCTGCTGCTGTGTCGGGGCTGGTGAGGCTCTGGAGGCTGCCTGGCTCGCTGCCCTCCCCCCAGCTTCCTAGTGGCAGGGAGCTCCCTTCCTCAAAGGCAGCCCGCCCCACTGCGGGATGACCCCACTGTCAGAACGTCTTCCCTTAGGGGCAGCTGAGATCCTTGGCTGCATGACACTTGGGTCCTATGTCTGCTCTCGGGAGCGGCCCCTGGAGTGGCCCCTCTCCCCGTGCCAGCTCTGTCGAAACCTCCAGACAGCAGTCTCGCTTGCCTCCTGACTTCCCTGCTTCATGTCGAACAACCCCCTCCCCTGCCCCACCCCCCTGGCCCTGTTCCCTGTTCCCTTTTCCTCCTGGTTTCCACGGCTGAGGGTCTCCCCAGTGTGTGATGGAGTAAAAGAGCGGTGACAAAATTGTAACTGTCCTGGAGCACTTATGACTCCATCGTGGGCGTGGCATGAGATGCTGACCCCACGCCCTCATTCAGACCTCAGAGGGCAGCCCCAGCGGGACCTTGGAGTCGTCCTTGCTTCCACGCCCTCATTCCTCACAGCCCATATCCAGTCCACCAGCGAGCCTGCCCGCTCCACATTCCACAGCCTCCAAACCCAGCCCTTCCGAGCATCTCCAGCGGTGCCACCCCCTGGCTTGGATTACTGCCACTGCCGCTGCCTCCTGACCGTCCCTGCGTCCGCCTTTGCTTTCCCTCCGTATTTTTAACACAGGAGCTGGAGACACCTGTTAGGACATAAGTCTCTTCACGTCACTCCACAACTGCCCGTCTTATCTCACGTAGAGAAGAAGCCAAAGGCTTCATTATGGCTTAAAAGGCCCTACAGGGTCCGCCCCCCACCCCCCAGGGACCTCTTCCTTCACCTCCCCACCTCGCTCACCTGCTTTTCCCACATGGCTGCCTCATGCCACAGAAACCCTATGTGTGTTCCCTCCTCAGGGCCCTTGGACTTGCTGTCCCGTCTTCCTGGCATGTGCTTCCTCCAGATATCCACAAGGCTCCCAGCCGTCTCACCTTCTCCAGGCCTTTCTCCAGCTGTCCTTGTCTCAGTGGCCTCTGCCAGCCATCCTGTCTACAGTCGCAACCCCCTAGATACCCTCACCCACTTCTCTCTGCTGAACTTCTCTCCATAGCACTTACCACTTTCTAACACACTGTGCGTTTTTGTTTTGTTTTGTTTTTTTGGCCACGCCCGGCATGTGGGATCTTAGTTCCCAGATCAGGGATCGAACCCGTGCCCCCTGCAGTTGAAGCACAGAGCCCTAACCACTGGACCACCAGGGAAGTCCCAACGGTGCATTTCTCTTGCTTGTTGTGTGACAACCACCTGCGTGCCGCCCCCCCAACCCCCCACCCGTCGCCAGAATGCCACCTCCCTATCTGTTTGGTTCATTGCTGTATCTCCATCTACCTAGAACAGTACCTGGCACGTCATAGGAGCTCAATAAATATGTGTTAAAAGAATAAACAAACAGCCCAGTGAGGTTAGTGCTATCCCTGTTTTTAGGGAAGAAAGTGAGGCTCAGAGAGGTTGAGTAACTTGCTGTTATCACACAGACAGTAGGTGTCAGAACCCAGCTCAGTAGCCGTGAAGTCACAGCGTACACCCTCGAGGCCAGGGCACGTGCAGAGAACCTGAACTCTTAAGCTCTGCCCTGCCTGGCTAACAAAGAGTGATATCTAGGGAGGGACAGGACAAAGGGTGGGGCTGGAGAGGACCACGCCCCTCACGATGCGCCCTCCCTCCTCTCATTGACAGGTACCCGTCCAACCACTTCGGGACACTGACGGGCCTGCAATCCCTCATCAGTGCTGTGTTTGCCCTGCTCCAGCAGCCGCTTTTCATGGCCATGGTGGGACCCTTGAAAGGAGAGCCCTTCTGGGTGAGAAGTCGGGGTGGGGGGGGTGGCATGGGGGCAACAGGATCCTCCTTCCTGGGTACACCCAAGGAGTTGAGGATGGGGGCTCTTGTATGTGATGGGATCCCTCGCTCTTATCTCAGCCAGGAGGCACCTTGGAAGTCTCTAATCAGGGGGCTCCCAAGCTGGCTGTCCATCACACCCGCCCACAGATTCCCCAGCCTACTGAATCAGCATCTCTCAGCCTGGGCCCAGGCAGCTCCCAGGTGATTTGTACAGTGACCCAGTCCTGATCCAGTCCAGTTCCACCCGATGCAGGGATCTTCTCTCCAGAGCCCCTAGAAAGGGGCTCCTCCAGACCCTCTTCGTCAAACGCCCGCGGCGATGGGGTGCCGGTCCTGTACAAGGAGGCAGCTGTGGGTCTTGTTGGAAAGGCTTTTCTTTACATCGAACTGACCTCACCTCCCTAAAGCTGATACCTGCCTCGAGGGCCCACCCACTCCCCACAATGGTGACGAAACGACAGCTGCCATTTCCCAAGTGCTCACCGGGTGCCGAGCGCACCGTGTGTTTTGTACTGCTCGTTGCCACAATGGCCCAGAGAAGGAGGTGCGTCGGATTAGAATGACTTGCCCAGAGCCACACCGTGAGTAACGCAGGGTGGGATGTGCGCTGCATCCGAGCCCGCAGGAGGTGGGCTCGGACCCAGGCCTTCTATCCCAGGAGGCACCCCAGTGCTGTTAACCGCCTGGGAGCACCACTCCCAATGGGATCCCATTGCCAAGGCCCTCAAAGGTCGAGGTTCCCAGCCCAGGCTGCCCAGACGGCACCAGATCACTTGGGCAGCAGCATTAGCTGGGGTTCAAACCAGGCTCTGACGCTTTATAAGGCCGCCGAGCATTCAGTGAGATGCTGCTGGAGAGTGACTGCACACAGCCAGTGCTGGGTCCGCCTGTCATTCTGGCCCAGGACCTGGACTAAAAATGGCTGCCTTCTCCTCCCTGTGGGAGGCTCAGGAGGACCCGAGGGTCAGGAGGGTGAACAGGCGCCCACTTGACTCGCTTTTCTCTCTCTCTCTCTCTGCCCTAAAGGTGAATCTGGGCCTCCTGCTGTTCTCATTGCTGGGATTCCTGCTACCTTGCTGCCTCTTCTACTATCGCACCCGGCTCCAGAGGGAGTACATCGCCCGCTGGGAGGGCCCCCTGAAGGTGCTTGGCAGCCCTGAGGTGACTGCCTAGGCCCCTGAGGGGCCTGGGTGACAGGCAGTCAAGGCCTGAGCAGCCAAAGGGAATGCCTCGTGGCTTTTCTACCTGTAACCTCCGCACAGAGCCAGGCGCCGGGGACCTATAAATACCAAGAGAAGTTCTATTTTTGTAGGGACTTGTTAAAAAGGAAAAAAAAAATCCCCAAAGCAGTGCTCCGTTGACTGAAGATGTCCCCCGTGCTAGGATCAGACTTTCTTGCTCCTGGGATTGGAGGAGACCAGGGTGCAGCCCTGCCCTTTCTCTGGGCCTAGGGGTCTGCCTGCTGCTGCCTCCTGGGGGCTTGTGGGATCAGTGAACAGGTGACCCCTAAGATCTCAGCCGTGCAGTGTCCAGAGTGAGCAGGCATGTGTGTGTGCATGTGGGTATGAAAATCCCTGCCCCTCAGAGGAAAGGGGCCTGAGGTGCTGGCTGTGTCCTGAATGCTGCCGCGTGGGCGGTAAGCCCCTTCCCGAGGCTGGAGGGTGGGTTCCCTCCCTGCTGCTGCTGCTGCTGCTTGCAGATCTTAGAGGAAATAAAAAGCGAAGTGAGAGGCTGGCTGGTGTGTACCTGCCTGTGTCTTGGGGGAAGGGGGTGTCTTCCCACACCCCATCCCTCGTCCTCAGCCAGGCTCAGCTGGGCGTTAAGTAGGACACCTGAAGTGCCAGCCTGTCTACCTGTGGCTGTCTGGCTCACCTCCCTGTTCTCAACCATACCCTGCCCTTAGTGTCTGGAGGGAGTCCAGATCCTGCCCTCTGCTCCTGCCCGCCACTTCTCAGGGTTTGGGGTACATCCGGGAGGTTGGCCTTTCTCCCTACAGGGGATAAGGGCAGGATGCTTTGGAGAGAATGCTAAGGAATGCCTCTCAAACTTTCCTATCCAGGGATCCCTGGAGGGAGGTCTGTCACAAGTAACATTCTTTATAGTGTTTTATCATAAAACTTCATGCAAATTTTGAGCTTCATTTTATGCTATATTCATATTTACTTTTAGCAGTAAAGTGAGGCTTTAAAATTACCCGCATCAAGGGAAGACACTGTCTTTGAGGACAAGGGACCTTCCAGGAAGCTATACCTTATTTATCCCACTCCTACATCTCTTTCTGTCCTGGGACATAAACCTTAAAGTCACAGAATGGAGGGATGGGGCAGGGAGAGACCACTAACATTTGTTGAGGATCTGCCTGTCCTAGCTACACAGGTATCTCATTTCATCCTAACTGTAGAAGTCGGTGTCTTCGGGTTGTTTCATAGATTGAGGAAAGCTCAGACAGATTAAGGCACGAGACCCAAGGGCACACAGCTGGTAGGTAGGTGGTGGAGCTGAGCTTGGTACCTGGGCATTCTAACCGCTGAGTCCTAACCACAGGTCTGCCAAGGCAATCAGCGGCAGAAAGGAGGTCCCAAGATTCTGAGCTCAACTTTCTGCTGCCCTCTCAGGGCTGAGAGTAACCACAAAAGCCTTATCTTCCCCCCCGCCACACACACACCAAAAAAAACCTTGGAGAACCCCCAAATCTTAGCCCTGGAAGACAGTATTACAAATAAGCCCTCCCTTTGTCTTAAACTGTCTTTAGGAGTTGATAAAACAGACTGACCCACCCATTTTATAGATGACCAGAGGGGTCTGGAGACTTGACAAAGTTGCACAGCAGATAACCTGGCTGCTCTGAGCCCAGACTCCTGGCTTGCAACACTGTGCCCTTTTCGCAAAATAGAAACCAGAACTGGACGGCACCCACCAACGGGTTGGACGGGCTCCCAGAGGCCTTACCCTGGTCTCACTACACTCTCTGTCCCAGACCTTGACTTTCCCTACAGTCTGGTGGAAGTTGATCACAAGCGATGGACAGAAGTGGGGCGGGCGGAGGAAGCAAGGCGTGTGCGCCGGGTGCTCGGTGTGCCCAGCAGGCGGCGCTGCGTGGCTGCGGCTGGGACGGGGTGGGAGGGTGGGAGCCGGCGGCGAGCCAGGAAGGGAACCTCGACACCCCTCCACATACACCCCTTAGCCACTAGTCTGCCCTTTCCTGGGTCTCGATCTCCAGACCCCTACCCTGGCTTGCTCTGCCCTCCTTCGCCGAACATCCTTTCAAGCGTTATCCCCTGCCCCACCGACCCTCGAGGCTGAAGGAGGGCGTCTCGACTCTGCCCCTGCCCAGCTGGGGCGTGGGACCGGGTGGGAGATGCAGGCAGAGATCTCGGCCTCCTGGGGGAGGGGTGTCTCCTCCCTCCCCGTTCCCGGGGTGGGGAGCTTGGGGAGGGGGCTGGGCAGGGGCGGAAGCGAGCTGCAGCCGTGTTTGCCGCGGCGCTGCCGAGTGGAACAGATGGCTGGGGAGGGGAGAGGGTACGTGGCGGGGAGGAGGAGGGGTGCGGGGGCCGCAGGATGAGGAACGAGGAATTTCGACGCCCCGAGTCTCCCAGGAGAAGCCCCCCTCCCCATCTCTTCCCAGAAAGAGGGGCGGGCAAGCGCCTGCCTTTTTTCCCGGAGAGCCCCGGCCTCTGGCCTGCGGCAGACCCCGCCGTCCCCCTGGGTCGCGCCCCTCACCCCCTAGACTCCCGGCGCGGGCCAAGCCGGCGGGGTCCAGACCGCAGGGAGCAGCCCGGGTCGCAAGGATTAATGGGGCCACACTCGCAGGGGCGAGGGGGCGGCGGGAAGCGGGCTCCCGAGGCGGGAGCGAGTTCAGGGATCGTAAATAGCTGAGGGAAAACGTGTTAATTGGAACTTTATGCAGATGAGCTGGGACGCGGGCTGGGGAGGGCCGATAGAGGGAGAAGAAGGTCTGACGGACGCTGGACCCGAGGGGAGGGCAGGAGGGCTCCGGCCGGGGGAGTGATGGGTAGATGTGTATCTGTTTATCGCTGTGTGGGACCTCCGGGGAGGGCCGCTGGTGTCCGAAGATGAGGGCTCCTCCTTGACCCTACGCCCCAGAAACAGGGGACTCTTCCAGAGTCTCCACATCCCGGGACCAGAAGTTCAGGGTCTCAGATCGCCACGAAGGTGGGGGCAACGTGCAAGTGACCGTTTCCGCTTGTGGCTGCTTACCCTGGGTGTCACATTCACTGCCTCCCCCCGCCCCCATCTGTCTCCATCCTTTTTCCCCATCCCTGGCATCACTCTCCTTGCAAGAGTATTGTCTGTAACTTCCACCGAGTGGGGGAGGGGAGGGAATCTAACTTTTCTTCCTTTGCTTTCTCCCCTCTGCCCCCCAAGGACCACCCCACCTTTGAGGAGGTGTTTCTCAGCCTTTAGAGAGCTTCATAACCCACCCCTACGTGTTAAAATGCAGATTCCAGGGCTCCCTTAGAGATCTGGTTCAGGGGCTCAGGAATCTGCGTCTTAGCAGTTTCCCACCTACATCGGATATAAAAGACCTTCATTTTCAGAAACGTTGTGCAGGGAATTGGTGGGCTGGAAAGACTGGACAAGTCTTCATCAACGGCCCCCCACCCCTCCTCCATGCTCCTGACCTCACCTCTGCTCTGTATGGCCATCTCTGCTTCCGGTGTGAGAGTACCAGGGGATGGAGAAGGTGCCAGAAAGGAGGGAAGGAAGGGAGGAAGGGGGGTGGGGGAGGAAGGAGAAAGAAAGAGAAAGAGTGAGGCTCACCTGGCTGTCCTCTCTCTGAGCAGGGTCTTACCCTTCCTCTCTCTGCTACCTTCTTCCCTCCCGTCTGCCTCAGCTGCTCTATCCATCTTCCTCTCTCACTTCCCTTCCCCCACCTCATCTGAAGTTTCTACGGCCAAAGAATCTTGGCGTAGGCAGTTTGGATCTTAGGGAGTAAGGGCAGAGCCAAAGTCCCCACCTCCAAAAGAAAGAGGCAAAGCACCTATCTCCGGGGTAGGAAGTAAACAGGAGGGAGGCAGGGCTTGAGGAAAGATAAGGGTGACAGCAAACATATAGGCCACCTTTCCACGGGCTATTGCACTTACCCCCCACAACAGCTCAATTTAGGCAGGCGCTATTGCCCCCAGGTTATACATGCAAAACAAAAAAGGGATGTTCAGAGAGGTTAAGTGACTTGCTCAAGGTCACACAGTAAGTGGGAAAATAGATAGGTCATTCACCCTTCTATTTCCCCCAAATCATTTCTCAAGAGGCTGCTGGGTAGCTGACCCAGGCCTCCCCTCCCTGCCCTCCCTCCCCCTCCCCCCGGGGCAGTGGGGGTGGGGAAGGGCATCATGTACAGAGATGAAAGGAGATGCTCGGGTTTCGGAACATCTGACAAGTCTGGCTGGAAGCATTAAAAATTCATTCAGAAACCTGACCCCAGTTGGACCTTGGGTCTGCCACCTGGACTGTCCCTGGCCTGGTGGCCTCTCAGATCCTGGTGGGCAAATTTCCCTTCAGCAGTGTCCTGGGAGCCCCCGAGTCCGTATTTCACAGGAGGGAGGTTCTCTCATGGATTAGGGAGCCAAAGTCAGAAGCCAGCAGCTGAGAAAGCAGGGCTGAGAACCCTCCCCCCACTCTGAGTGTAAGAACCTTAGAGGTTTCAGGGCTTATAAACCTTGTCATCTGGCGTCCTTCTATTCCTCTCCCCAGGCAGATACTCTCAGTTTAGGGTAACTCAGCCTGGCTGTGATACCCGAGGTGGCCAGTGGAGGGCAGCTATCTCCTATGAGGGAGCCCTAGCCTGAGCCTCTACCGAAGCTTTGAAGGACGGGAAAAGAACCCCATGGATAAGGTCCCGGAGATGCAGTTTTGGCCTTGGGGAAGGGCTCTGGAGTCTGTCATCTGAGGACAGGGGGAGAGGGCTCCTAGTCTGGGGGAGACTGAGGAATTTTGGGGAGGGTTCAAAGTAGGTTTGTGGGTTTCAAGTACATGGTAACTGATGGCCAGCATGATACAATCTTTCTAGCTGGAGTGAAGGTTTGGGAGGAGGCCACGAGAGAGAAAGCTAGAAAGGCAGTTGGGACCAGACTCTAAAGGATCTTTGATGCTTTGCTAAGGTGTTTTATCTTTAACCTGTAGGCAACAGGGAGCCATTGTAAGTCCCTGAGTAACAGAATGACATAATGCAAATGTTGGTCAGCTGAATCTGGCCAACAGGGGCCAGTGAGTGGGAGGGAGAGAGAGAGTGAATGGAGGAAAACCAGAGAGGAGGTTATTGCTATTTTCTTCTATATTCTAGGCATGAGGTAATGAGGAGATGAAGCAGGGAGGTAGCAGGAGGAATGGAAAGGAAGGGCTGGATGGGGCCTGCGAGGGGGACTGGGTGAGGAGACAGGACATTAAAGAAAGGGAGGAGTTAACTACCACTGGTGTCAGGCAGAGAGAACTCAGCATGTGGGTATACACTCAGGATGCAGGAGGTGAATGAGTTTTGTTCCTTTCAGGGCTGGGAAGTCTTGGACACATCACTTCCCCTCTCTGGGCCTCCGTTGCCCCTCTCAGAGCATCGGTGGGGGTTGGACTGGATGGCCTTGAAAGTCCCTCCTATTTCAGGGTGTGTGGCTCAGGGTTATCAGTCTGGGTTGTCTGGAGAGGCTGGGGTCTGTGTGTGTGACATCTCATGGGTGGGGACCCATGTGAGCAGCTGCACACGCATGTCAGTATTTGGG